TCGACAAGAGCATGTAACCATCTGGTACACAATTGCTTATCCACGGATCAAAAGACGCAAATTTAAGAGTTTGAAGTACTAATTGATAAATTGATGAGAGTAAAATACACAAAAGTGTTTAGGAAGAATTATAATAGACTCTCATAAGAATAAAGTTATAAATTACATTCTCTTATATAGAGATGAGATTTCCTAATCTAAGATAAATATAAATATAAATAATATATTTAGAGATAATGTTAAACTTCCTAAACTTAAGATATGATAAATTGATCCTTCTCGATCTTCATGATTTTCATAATCTTGGACGATCATCTCGACCGTCGATCTCGGTCGATCTCCGGTTCTCCCAATACTAATCTATCCATTACTCTGTTACATTCGCGGTGTCCAAATTAAATAGAGAATTGATCAAAAAATGTGTCGAAGAGTGGATATCTTGTCGATAGGATTGTAGAGCAAGCCAAGTTGTGGGAGGTTATAAACCTTCGACTGCATCCTTAGAGTCTGACTCAAATATAACCCTGCGAAAGCGCAGATTTCTCACACTCATAACTGCCCAACACTCTGCAGAATATCCAAGGCCAACCGGAATCTGTACAATAAAGATCATTTCCAGAACATTTTCCGAGATTGGCTAAAAGACAACCTTTGTAGATAGAACAAATCATAATGTGATAACTTTTAGTTCCAAAATTCTTTATTTTATACATCATGTTCTTTACCAACAGCTTTATACAGATCTTGAACTACACTGCTAACAAATCTGTCATCTTCCACAGAGCTTACCATTTTCTCATAGAACAATATCCCTTTCTCGGCGTCACCACAGCTCATGTATCCCTTTAGGATAGTCCGCTTGCAAGCACTGTCTGGACTTATACCGGCTTCAGACATCTTGCAGTATATCCTTTCGGCCTCATCCATCATCCCAGCTTTGGCAAAAGCAGAGAGCAATAAACTGAAATGGCTGTGAAATAGCGGGATGCCTTTCTCTTGCATGAGAGTTATCGTCTTCTCACAATCTGCGAACTGTGAACTCTCAGCATAGGCTTGAATCAGGGAGAGGTATGTGGATGAGTCCGTACAGTGACCAGTTCTCTCCATTACTTGCAAAAGTTCATCAACCTCGCGATGGAGTCTACTGGTTGCACATATTTTGACCACCATGTTGTAACTAGGCTGCAATTTTTTCCCAGTATTATTAACAATGTCCATTTTTAGACTTGTTTTCACCCATTGTTAGATTTTAAGAAATATCTCATTGTTAAGCCACTAAATAGAATGTTACGAAGAATTTGGTTGAAAAACGTTAAACCTACCGTTCCAGGTTTAATCCCTTTCTTCTGCATTTCACTAAACAAAGACAATGCTTCACTCATCTTTCCTGGAACAGCAAGAGAAAGGTTCATTTGTTAATGTTATTAACCAGAATCAAGACCGTCAATGTTACAGAACATTCCATGTCAGCGAGAAACTGTGATTCATATCACATACGGAACATAAAATTTCTCGATTAGATACATACCCGCCTTGCCATAATGCATAATCATGTTCATGTAAATTTTCTCGTCCAGATACAACCCGGATCTGCGAGCGTTACTAAAAATCTCAATTGCTTTGTCCAGCTGCAGACCCCGCCCATACACACTGCATCAACCCACCAAGATAGCTGGAATTTTACACGACGACCAACTTACTCGAGTCTTAAGCATAAGGAAGCTAGATTGAATGAGTTTACCTAATCATTGTGTTGTATGTCTGAATCGAACAAGGAACACCTGAGGTATGCATCCGCTCATAAATTTCAGATGCACATTGTAGTTTACCTGTGACAACAGAGATATGAGTGTTGGTTCCCTGCACCATAAACTTCAACTGGAATTGATAAAGATCTGTTCTGTTGTACCTGCTTCTAGCATTGCCTTGATAAGGGTATTATAGCCAACGGTGTCAAGCTCCATATTTTTTTCAAGGCAGGTCCGTGATATATGTTCTGCTTCTCGGTGTTTCCCTGTGATTAGGATAACACAGTTTTCTTACAGAACAGTTTAACATCGCAGTTAACTGGAATATAATACGTTTAATGTAACTGAACTCTGCAAGTAGTTGATGGAAATGTAACAGTCATATATCAATTCATAATTTTCACCCATTCGAATATCTTCAGCTCAAATTTCCAATCATGTGCTATAACAAGATTAAATTATTTTGGGCCCTGAACTTCTCTGAAGTTTTTTGGGAAGGAAGGAGATGCAATTTTCCATTTGACATACCTCGATTTGTTAGAGCATTCACAAGTATACTGATGGTAACAGCTCCCGGGTCACAAAACTTTTCTGCTGATTCCATAAAGAGCCCATATGCATCTTCAAGCCAGCCACATCTGACATAAGCATCACTCATTGAGCTGACAACAGATTTCCCCAGAGTTTTAGATTCTCCTGCTGCAAGGTAAAGCCGTTTCGCCTCTTTAAGCTTATGTTGCCTCCCATATACAGCAATCAAAGTCGCGACTGTTTCCTCCTCTATCCGGAATCCTAGTTTGATAATTATATCGGCAAGAATTTCTGCTTTAAATACATCACCTGCATACAAGATGAACTTATCTTCAACAACATGTCCAAAGCTTGTTAACAAACACCAATATCTAAGTAACAAAAAATCAGTTAAATTTTCTTACCTTCTCTCACAAAGCTACCTATGACTCGATTTACTGCCAATGAACCAAGATCAGTCTTGAACATTAAATTCAAAATTGCTTTAGTCTCATTCAAATTTCCCTCTTTTAGTCGCAAATTGAGCAGCATTCCAAGAGCCGTGACATCAAGTCGACTCACGTTTAAGACTGCTTCGTGTTTATCCTGCTTGTTTATTTCGATATGCATAGCCTCTGCAAGTGTTTGTACGAATCTGTCATCCTTAACCACAGCTTCTCTACCCATTTTATCTACCAGCTCTATAGCTTCTGCCACCATTCCCTCCTTGCAATACACTCTCATAGCCATCTTGTAAAGCTCTATATTAAACTGCACTTGATCAGCCATTATCTGCTTGATAAAACCCTTAGCTTTCTCTCCTAGATTGAGTCTGGTATACAAATTGAGCATGTCGTTACAAGAACTGGCATCAGGAAGTCCAGTGTTTGTTAAAGCTCGAAATGCTTCCTCAGCACAATCAACATTCTGTATCTTAGCATAACATTGTAACATGACAATATAGGCAAATCTGGAAAGAGGAATATCTCTGGTCTTCATCATTTCAATTACATCTAATGCTTTGACAACATTCCCCGAATTTAAATGAACTTGAGACATTGCCAGATACGTTTTCTCATCAGCTAGTAGATTCAGGCGTTCAGTCTCTTCGAAAATACTCTGTGCATCATGGAAAAGTCCGAGCTTCCCGTATATTCTGATGATCAACCCGCGGATGACCTCATCAGCTGGAATCTTATTTCTTTCCATGTCTGCAAAGAGAGAAAGCGCTTTCGGGTAATTCTCCGTTTTGTAATATAAACTTAACATAGAAGCACAAGTATAGTTACTCGGAACGATTCCCCGAGATCTCATATCCTCATACAATCCAAGAGCCTGATCCCAATCACCAGCCTTCACACTTAACCCAATAACTGAGCTGTAAGTCACTTCCTCCGGGACAAACCCCAAGCTCTTCATCTCACCAAAAGCCCTCAACGCCTCCTCTTTAAAACCCTGTTTAGCATACGAGCTCACAACTAACGTATACGTGAATTCATTCGGAGGCACACCTTCCTCCACCATTTCTAACCATAAATCTATCACTTTCCCATGAAACAATTTCTTCTGAAGAGACGACAACATGAAATTATAAACAGAAGTCGATAAAACCATCCCCCTTTCTTGAACAGCTTTATAAAACGTCAACATAGCGGTATGCCGTCCCCATCTAGCATAAGTACACAACATAGTACCACAAGCTACTCCATCTGGTTCACATCCAACTTCAAGCATTTCCAGAAATGTTTCCTCAGCCATCTTAATCTTCCCAACTTGCCCATACAAACGAAGAACAATCGTATACACAACCACACTCGGACGATAACTTAACTGTTTAACACAAAAACCTATCACCAAAACTTCATCAAACAACAGAATCAAGATCAAAATCAAAGCTTTAAGATCAAAAATCGAACCTGCAATTTCATCCAAGAGAAGAAGTCTCTCACTTGTCTCCAACCTCTTTGTTCTTTTAAAACAACACACATATCTCTAAAACTAAGCTTCGCTACAAAGCTACTCATCACAAGTCTCATATCATCACTACCTTCTCTTCTCTGAGACAAACCTCTCACCGTCTTAATCGCAGCCACCACATGTTTCCCATACATTTGACCATTCCGATCATCTTCCAAATACTGAACCATTTGCTCTGGAGTTCGCTTAATCCATTTGGGAGTCATAGCGTGTGAGCCTTGGTTCCTTCTCAACGTGCTTAGATACTGTGCTTTCTTCTTTATGATTCGTCGAGCGTCGTCGTCTGATAACGGATGTTTCGGTCTCTCGTATCTTGGTTTTGGTTTTTCCGGGTTACCGTCGCTGAGTGACCACGGGTCGGGTCGGACTTTGGAAGAAGATGAGGACTTTATTGTGATTCTAGAGTTTCTTGAAGGTATTTTGGGAAGAAATATTGAAGGATTGAAGTGTGTTGTGGAAGTGAGGAAGTCACTCTTCATTGCTTCTTCTTCTCGAGTTTCTCCGGCCACAACCTCGCCGTATCTAGAACTCAGAGACAGTCTCCTAATTTAGACCTTAAATTATCCGGTTAAGTTCGGTTTAATGTGGTTTAGTTTGTCTCCAACAATATTTGGCTTTATTTCCGGTTTAATTTGGTTTAATTGTTTTGGTATTTCTCCTTTGATTTACTCAATTTAGTCTTTCATTTTTAAGTTGATTTTATTGTCTTAAGAGCAATACTAAACCAAGTAACCAACATGCCAAAACCTACTAATGTTGTTGTCGCTGCATAGTCTGATTTTACTAAACACTAACTTTAAGTTGTAACTTAATGTCACATTCCAGAAATTATGTCCCAACTTAGATAAATATGTGCGACTGACAATAGAAAGTGACCTATGGGTTCTTTAAGTTGAGACCCCTAACTGCTTTCAGGTCAAGCTCCCAGTATTCGCCATCTCCAAACCGAGTCGCTCTTCTCTCGTGTCTGAACGCAGGAATCTGCTGCGAGAATCTACACACTTCAGTCTTTGGAATGTCTATAAAACATGCATCTGACTCTCGACTCCTTTCGTAGAGAGGCTTGTTGTTAAACTCTTTAGCAGTCAAAAGCATTGCTTGTATCCTTTGCTCGTCGGTTTCTACTACTTCTACAATCTCAAGTTCTTCAGTCTCAGCACAATCTGTGGGATTCCAGTTCTTGTACAGAGCCCAGATTTCACCCTTCCCTGGGTATACTTCGAATCTGTTCTTCTTAGCCTTCACGGCTTTAACCTGATGTGAGAAGCTGCTAGGTACAAGAACTTCTGCTTTACCGGTTTTCAACTTGAAGCGCCCACAGCACACGGGGCGAGGCATGTGTATTGGAGGACGATACAGCTCTAGAGGTGCTACATGTAACTTGAATTCAGGACTTGTGTCGATTTTCTTGATCTGAGCATACTTTCTGGGAATCCCTTCGTCATTGCTATAAATGGCCCATATCTGATCAATCTGGAACTTGTCCCAAGATCTCTGGTTCTCGAAGTTAAAAGTGTTTTCTTTCACGGTTTTGCAACTGGATGGAACACGAGTCTCTGGTTCTGAGCATTTTATACTACCATTTAACTGAGTCAGCAAACCATTACCCCTGGACTGAGACAATGACTCATCATTTCTCCCATGTTTCTTTAGGTTCCCTGTCGGTTTGTGTATATCCTGAGGTGTTTTTCTCATTCTTGAGGAATCCGTTGTGATAGTCTTCTCAGATATCTTTGGGGTAGACATCCTCTCACCAGATAAAGACAACCCACCTGACTGTCCACAGGATTCACCATTGTTAGCACTCTTCTTTTCAGCTATTTGTCGGCCTGACCTTGAATTTGCTTGATTCTTTGTTTCACTCAAAAGACGAGGAGATTTTCGCAGATTTAAGACATCTACTGCTTTGACACTCTTTCTGGACTTCTTCACTGAGTTCATTTCATGATTAATGTGTCTACCATCAGATTCTTTGGAGAACGAACCATGATTGTCATGGACTTTTGGACGTTTCTTTTTAAATGAACTGCTCTGTAGAGTACTATTTGCCTGCATTTCAACCTTGGAAGCTTCAGGAAGAGGACCACCAGTTTTGCCATTCGGCCTTTCTCTATCCAACCCAACATCAACTTTAGAATCACAAACCTCGAAAAATTCTTTTGGTAAAGCAGCAGTATCTAATTCAAAGCACCCAGGAGGAACACCTTCTCTCTCCTTTCCAGTCATTTTGAATGATGGGACTTTATGCGAAAACCTGAGCATCTCACCTGGTGGAATTAGAAGTTGGAGAACTCCATCCTGTGCATCTTGGCGGAAGAGGGAAACAAACCCTTCCACTTTTCCCAGAAAGGCCACTCCAAGGCCAATCTCATCATTAAAATTAGACAAAACTTCAACAAAATCATATTCATAAGGATGTTTATGATTTTCTGAGCTAGCACTCCAACTGATATCCCAGCCTCTGAAAATTGCCCAAATTTCTCGCTTTCTTGGATATATTCCGATGCTATTGTTGCGAGTTAAGTGAAACATCTGACTAGAAAATTTTAAGTGGTCGTTTTCTTCGTCTGAATCCCCAACTTGAAAGATTCCACAAGCAATGGGAATAGAGTTATTATCCTGTAGCGGGTCAATCCACGTAATCCACAGCTTGAACTCAGAATCCAACACTTTTTCTATCCGAGCATACAACCGAGGCATACCGTCAGTCGGATCATACAAAGACCACACCTGGTTGACAGCAAAACAGCTTGTCGTCAGTTCAAAATTATTGAACTCTGGATCAGGCGAATCCTGCGTAATAAGCTTCTCATTAGCATTGTGGTTATTGTCAATCTTTGCTGCCATAACCACCCCTTCTCCACTTTCTTTACATCCTTCTCTCTCTTTGTCTTTGGATGCTGAGATTTCTTGATATCCAGAATCCACGAATTTCTTAGCTTTTCCATTAAACACACATGAAGGGGCAGTTGAAGCACCACCAGAATCAAGACGTGTAGATGATCCAACACCTACCAATCCTTTTCTTGTAGTTTGCTCAGATTTTAACCCAACATTTGATCTTGACCTTTTTTTTGGAGGGCTATCATCACTGCCTACCTTCGCTGCCGAAGAACTCTGTTGGCATCTCCTTTGAGATTTCCACTTACTATTATCTTTTGAATCCGCTTTATCCTTAACAATATCAGAACCATCAACATTAATACTCTCCTCAACACACTTTTTCCTCTTGTTCCTGTCCTTGCTTGTAGAGGGTGCTTGATCACTCCTTGAAATTGACTCATCAGGTACAGATTTCGATACACCTATTTCGGGTTCTGTAGCCTCAGGTTGTGGCTTCTGTAGTTTAGCTGCACTATTCATCTTTCCCTCGTCTTTCTCAGGTATACTTGATTCACCATAACTCTTCATGGATTCAGCCTTTCTTTTGGGTTTTTTTACATGAGTCTTTTTGATCTCACCTCCTCCGTTCTTCTTGTTGAATTCCTCATTGAAAGTTCCTTTCTTATCCACCTCAGCTGCTACACTTCCTGGTTGAGCACCAGTAGACTCTGCATTTATATTCACAGATGTGTTACACGGCCCCTGATTTCGAACATCTTTCTGACCAGTGCTTGATTTAAAAGATGCTCCATTAAATCCCGTGTCGTAGGCCATGTAGGATCTTTGACAACTGATACATTGCAGAAGAGTGTTCGCATACTCTATCAAGTATCTATACCTATAACCACAATGCTCACAACATGTCCAAAATGTAACACTATCACTGGCACATTGTAGACCAGAGTTTGCTGCATTCAACTGGTAACTAGCAACCCGTAAATAGATTCTACGCTTTATATCATACTGAGACCGTTTATCCTTGTCAGCAAGAAATCTACTTGCATCCCAAACCAACTTGAAAGCAGACTCAGCACCAGGGAACTGGTTTTTGTCAGGATGGAGAAGCAAAGCAAGCTTCCTGACCTGCTTCTTGATTGTAGCATCATCAGCAAAATGCATAACTTGGAGAATACCGTACCAGTTCTCAAGACCGTTGAGTTTCTTCTCAGCAGAATTATGGACATCACATACAGCTAACATTTGTGGTAAAGTCTCAAGACTTGAAAAGAGACTCTGAGCCTTTAACAAAAGCTTTTGAGCTCCAACAAAATCACCATTCTTCATCTTATCCTCTGCTAATGTTTTTGCCCTAGAGGCCTCTTCCTTATTGCAGTCCATCTTGAATCAGCTAAATTTCAGAGATCAGAACAACAACAAAGACACCAAAGAACCAATATCTCATTCCTGCAAACACAAAAGTCCATTGCAGATACATTATTAAATAAATCACTTCCCACTCCAAAAAATAGCTGACAGTGAAAACAGAAACTCATCTTACCATATAAGAGAGAAGAATCGCGAGATGTTTTACACCAATGTGCTTAATCCTTGATCAGATAAACAAAACCACTACCTCCATGACGCCTTGAAAATGTAGGATATGAGTCAAATCAGTCTGGTATAGTTCAATAGTCTAGACCTGCAAATAATAAAGAAGAACTTAAAATCAAGTTTCAATTTTTAAAGCAGAACAATTCAGAATAAACAGAAGAAATCTCACAAGAAATCAAAGCACCGAATTTGTTTCCAGAAAACAAGTAAAGACAACAAAGATTAAAGCAAAAATTTCAAAACAAAAACTTTCAATCGGGGAAAAAAGTACGACGGTGATACACAACAACAACTGTAAAACGATAGAATTTCAAAAGTTTATGCAAAATTGTGATCATGTGTAAGAAAGTAAAACCCTAGACGAAAGAAAAAAATACAAACCCAGAAGAGGAACACACCCAAAAGCTTGAATCTCGAAAGCCAGGAAGGTGAAGAGACGATGAGAAGAAACTGAGAAACCCTAAATCTGGAGTGAAGAGGGAACTTAAAAAATTTTGATTTTAGAGAAAGGCCTGAGAACTGAGAAGGGTGAGTGGTCGATATTTCTTTAGTTATTTTATACTTTTTATTTTTCTACTTTTTATCATGTTCTTTTTTTTTTTTTTCACTGAAGATATGGATTTCATAGATTTCAAGGAATGATTAAAAGAGCCGGCAAGGGAAACAACCCTTCTAGAGACTAAGCCGACGAGTAAATGAAGACAAATGAAGACTCCCGGGGACACAAAGACTGAAACAAAGGGAAACAACTCAAACATACAAATACATAACAACAGTTTGATTACTTCCCGGACTCATAACCCAAAAACTCAAACTAAACATACAAAGCCTAAATCAAGATAAAATTAACATGTTCTCTTTTTATCATGTTCTCTTACTTAATTACTTTTTCAACGATAGTTGGACGATTTTGATTTTTTAGATTTTTTCTCTCTTTTAAAAAATAATGAAATGCTAGTTTAATAATTTCAAAATTGTGTCACCTATACATTTAAAATAAAGTACTAGGTGGTGTACCGCTGGTGAATATTTATTTGCATATCGTGTTGTTACGTTTATTTTAAAATTCTGTTTAGTTTAAAAGCTTAATTGGTTTTTTTGCAGCCACCCAAAGTTGTAGCGGTTACTAGCGTTTAAAATCAATCATGAAAATCGTTTTATATCGTTAAGAGCTGTTCGAAATTATTAAATTTCAAAAGCGTTTTTTTCGCAAGCGTTTGCGGTTATAGATGGTAGCAGGTGACTGAAAAACAAATCACATAAAATAATATATTATCAAACCTTATATATGAATAGTAAGTATTTGAGAAATAATTTCTCGTATAAGGTTAGTTAATTCATTAATTTTTTTGACTTATTTAAAAAACAAAGAGAATTAAAGCCGCAGTACAACGAACGACAAGTTTTCTATTAAAAATTTTATAATATTTTGTTACTCTAGAGATAAATAATAATGTTTTAATTTTTTCAACATTTTTTTTAATTTCACAATATAAAGTCTGAATTTTACAATATCTTTATTTGAAATTATAAATTTAAGTTGAATGTAGTAATTTTTTTTTTTTCTTTAACTTAAAATTTAATAATAAATAAAAATATGTAGTATATTGTTCTTAGAAACTAATGTTTCACTTTGAATTTTATTTTCTTGCTTAAAATTTTACATAAAGAATTATAGAAAGTTAGTTTTATTCTACCATGCATTTTCCGTTCTTCTGCAGCTTCTGCTGCAGAGTCGCTTCCCAGCTCAGCTCCCTCCCTCATGTCAGTCACTCGAAATGGGAAAGAGGAAGTCACTGAAAAAGTTCCCGGCTTCAAATTCAAAGGGTAAAGTTGATTCCCAGATCTAAGCCTCGATTGAACCTTTCTAGTTCTCAAGAGACTTTGTACGACACCCTTGGCTATGCGGATCCGGTTGAGATTGTTAGTTCTGTCTCGCAATCCTCTCTCCCGTTGAATCCAATTGAGGACCAATCGACTGCCTCCTTGGTAGTCTCGGATGCCTCCTCACATATGCCAGTATTCGTTGCTACTGCTGCCTTGCCGGATGTAGATGACATCCATGTGAAAGTTGTTAACACGATTGAGCCAGGTGAGTTCACTACAGAGGCGAATCCACCACAAGCTGAACCAACAAAGGTCAGCACCAAGAGCAGTGTGTGTTTTGCGACTGCAAAAACACAGATGCAAACATACCAGCTTCAACTGCTAGTTCTGATATATTGGTGAATCTCGTGAAGGGTTCCTCCAAACTGTTACAGAATAAAGGTGTGGCTGTTACTCTCGACTATGGCGAAGATTAGATGAGGATCCCTAACCCAGTTATTGAGAGGAATAAGAAATCGTGGGATTGCTTTGTGTTAGGCCAATTCTATTCTGATCCAGCAACTCAAGGCATTATCCACAACATTGTGAATGGCATTTGGGGCAAGCAGTTGAGGGACATTGCATGGTCAAAAATGGAAGGGAATGCTTTCCTTTTCAGGATTCCGAAATGCTTTCACTCAAAGTCGTGTTCTGAACAAGTGCCTTTGGCGGATTGAAGGACAGGCGATGTTCGTTGCCAAATGGGACCCTAGAGTCATTCCGACAAAATCAGAGCTTACTTTAGCTTCAATCTGGCTAGAACTTAGGGAAAATCTGTTGTAATTTTTTCGTGAGGAAGGGCTAGAGCGTATTGCGGGTCTTGTTGGCGATCCAAAGTTCACGCATCCTTCGACGGTCAATAAAAAATCTTGAGGTGGCAAAAGTTTTTACTCTCACTGATCCCCGTAAGCCACTCCTTGAAGCGGTGAATGTGAAATTTGACTCTGGTGCGATTCAGCAGGTGTTGGTTTCTAGCCCATGGATGCCCCCAGTTTGTTCGCATTGTAAAGTGATTGGACACAAATTGAGGCATTGCAAAAGATCCCCTATCACCTACAGCGAGTGATAGAACATTTTTCAGATCTAGGCATCTTTTGAAGCAATGGCATGCAACTACGCTTGTTTTATCCCAAAGATCACAAATTCTTCAAGAATGTTAGAGTTCAAGCCCATTTCGTGCCCCAATACCTTGTACAAAGTTATTGCTAGGTTATTGACTTATAGGCTGCAGAAGCTCCAAACTCATGTGCTTTCGCCAGCTTTGTCTGCGTTCTTACCGGGTAGGCTACTTGACGAAAACGTCCTCCTTGCTACTGAAATCGTCCATGGATACAATTGGAGGAACATTGAGTCTCGAGGAATGCTGAAGGTTGATCTAAGGAAAGCTTTTGACAGTGTCAGATGGGATTTTATTATTTCAGCTCTTAGAGCTATTTCTATGCCCGAAAGGTTTATAGGTTGGATAAGTCAGTGCATCTCTACTCTCTCTTTCTCAGTGGCAGTAAATGGGCCCATTAGCGGGTTTTTAAGAGCAGCAAAAGACTGCATTAAGGCGACCCATTATCACCATATTTATTTGTGTTGGCAATGGAGGTTTTCTCAAGTTTGCTAAAGGCGACATTTGACGCGGGTTATATCCACTACCATCCTAAAACCTCTGAGTTATCTATCTCTCACCTCATGTTTGCTGATGATGTGATGATTTTCTTTGATGGGGGAAGCTCCTCTTTGTATGGAATAAGCAAAGCTCTCGATGACTTTTCTTCTTGGTCTGGGCTGCATGTGAATAAGGATAAGACTAACCTCTATTTGGCTGGAACGGATCAAACAAAGCATTACCGATTTCCATATATGGGTTTCCATCTAGCTCTCTCCCTGTTAGGTACCTAGGCCTCCCGCTAATGAGTAAGAAGCTTAAAATTGCTGAATATGAACCTTTATTGGAGAAGCGTGCAAAAAGATTCAAATCTTTGGCAGTTAAAAGTCTTTCTTTTGTTGGGCGTTTTCAATTAATCGCTTATGTTATCAAGGGTATAGTCAAATTTTGTGTTTCCTCTTGGTTGTGTGAAGAAGATTGAATCTCTTTGCTCTAGGTTTCTGTGGTTTGGTAGCATTGATGCAGGAAAGGGAGCAAAAATAGCTTGGTCGGGAGTTTGTCTGCCCAAGAAGGAGGGAGGAGTAGGACTGCGCAGATTCTCAGCTTGGAACAAAACTTTTTGCCTTCGTTTTATTTGGTTACTATTTGTAAAATCTGGAAGTCTTGGGGCGGCTTGGCATAAAACTCACCATATCAGAAAGAATGCTTTTTGGTTAATAGATGAAGGTGTCAGGGATCCTTGGACATGGAAGATGCTATTTCGTTTAAGGCCTCTAGCTGAAAGGTTCTTAACGGCACATGTCTTCAATGGGGAAAAGGTTTTCTTCTGCTTCGACAATTGGACCCCCTTTGGTCCTTTAATCAAGTTCATGGGAACTGATGCTTCTAGGTCTATGCGTATTCCAGCTGCAGCAAAGGTGAGTGACGCTTGTAATGCTGCAGGTTGGATTATTCCTCCACCAAAGTCAGGTAATGCTTTATTATTCCCCATAATGCTTTATTATTCCAATAATGTCCCGAGTATTGAAGTTGCAAATGATTCCTACTCTTGGGTTGTTGATGATACTATGTGCATTGGTTTTTCTACCTCAAAGACCTGGGAGGTTTTGAGGGCAAGAGAAGTTGAAAAACAGTAGGCCAAATCTGTTTGGTTTAAAGGCGCAATTCCAAAACATGCTTTTAATATGTGGGTAAGCAATCTTAACAGGCTGCTGCCAACAAAGCTAAGATTGTTCTCGTGGGGAGTAAGTACAAATGCAGATTGTTGTATTTGCTCCAGGTTTCCAGAATCTCAAGACCACCTTCTCCTAACTTACCATTTTGCGGCTGCGATATGGTCCCAACTATTTATCTGACTTTCGCCATCTCATAGACAAATTATCACATAGACGGAGCTGCTCTCCTGGACAAGACAAACAACATTTGCAACTCCTGCGTTTCTCTGTAGGGTGGCTGCTCAAGCATCTGTCTACCATATTTGGCGCCAAAGGAACAATATGCTGCTAACAACAACTTATTCCTTCTTTGGTGGTTTTCAAAAGTATTGATTGAGAAATTCGTAACATCATTTCAGGAAGACGTCATAGGAAGCGTTGGCGACCGCTAATGCTCTTTTGGATTCGATAGCACCAAGTTATACCTTTTTAATCGTATTGTAACCTTGTTTTTTAATTTCTTTTTGCATTTCTTTTTGGAGTTACTCTTCTTCTAGGTAATGTTCATTATAATACCTCAACTTCATTTTTAATGATATTTACTAACTTAGCAAACTGATAAGGATTACTGGATTAGAGATACTTAATGCGAAAACTAGAACATGGTGTTTTTGAAATGTCGCTATTATTTATGTTTTCAAGTACGAGAATAAGGTTTTGTTTGTTCATATTAATCACAACAAAAAGACAAAACTGAACGTCCAAAAGTTATATACCATTTATGTGAGTTTTTATCACATTTAGTTTCACATTATATACCCATGACACTGATATGTGACTATATTAGCAGTGGGATCAAATCTAGCAATCCTTGAAAAACAGAAAAAAAAACAAAAAAACAAAAAGAAAATACCAAGACACTTAAATCCTCCAAGAACCCTAAAAGTAAAGCAGCGGCTATAGGTTTCTGTAATATGGATTTAAATGTTGATAGTGTTGGTAAAATTGGGGTCCCTCTGGCTGTCTCCACTGGTTATAATTGTAGTCAGCGTTAGGAATTCCGGTGAAACCAGTGTCGTAGTTGTCTACCGGCCAAGTTTGTCTTTGATTCAGGGGATAGTCATGGCTGGGATAGTGATTGCTTGTGCGCGAAGCAATGTGTCCTGAGCTCTGATTGTTTCCTGACATGCTGCGTTTTTTCCCTCTCTTATTCTTCTTCGTTGAAAACGGTTTGCTCGCAGAGGAGGATGCAGCTTCTGTTGAAGGTTCCAAAGGTATGTTGCTAGTGACAGAAGCAACCTCCGCTGCATTTGGTGGTTTTGCCGTCTGAGGTGGTTTTGCCGTCTGAGGTTGTTTGATTTTCGAATCGGGTTTGGACGATGCGGATCCGGATTCAGATTCATTAGAAGTGTTTCTTCTAAGCTTCAAAAGCGACTTGATTTGTTCTTCGAGGTCTCCGAGTTGGAACTCTGATTCAAGTTTGTGACAAGATATGCATTTAATGGCGGCTCTAAGTGCTCTAACTTGTCTGTCTATGGCTGCAACCTGTAAAATATGCTTTGTGTTACAACAATCACTTTTTGAGTTTTATTGTGATTTAAGAAGTTAAGAACAAAGAAACGACTTAGTTTACCTGCGTTGCAGAATCGTTCTTGGCTTCTCTATACGACTTCTCTGCAGATTCCTTTATAATCCTCAAGGAATCGTTTATAATAGCGGATACAGGTTGGAATCTATGGACCATACCAAATGAGTATATGTAGTCTATTGCCTTGATTCGATGTCCAGTTTTTATGAGATTTTGAATGAAACCTGTTCAACCAAAGCCATATGAACAAGCCGTTTTCAGTAAAATGGTATAGGCTAGACAATTGAATCTTTAGGCCTAGCGGTTAGCAATAGCAGGAGAATAGAGAAAAGGGAATAACCTGGAATGGCGTTGTCCAACCCGAGAAACTGGCAAAGATCAGGAGATACAGTTTGCCAATAAGAATTGTCCAGTAGACCAAGAAGGTCATCAGCCTTGAACTCTGACACAATTCCAAAGATACCCAGAAACTGTAGGAAGCAAATGACTTCCAATTCATCTCTTTTGCTCTTTGAAATCTTATCTTTCCAGTAAACAGCAAGTTTCTTCGCATCACCTTTCACAGGATGTCCAATTTTAGGCAGGAGCTTCTTCAGCTGATTCAACAATAAAGAGCAGCTAGCTGTAGTAACCAGCAGCTTGAACTCGTATCCCCCTTCGGCGTTTGTAGGACACAGAGCCATGGATGTGTCTAGAACAAGCTTTGCTGGATCTGGTGTGCATTTCAGAGCATTGGAGAGACCCTCACTCTCCTTTAGAGGTTGCTTTTCTACTAGCTCCTTTAACATGTCCGCGTTAATGGAACCAGAGAGAATGTTAGGCTTGGTTTCAGTACTTGCTGGATGAGTTGTTATGGTGTCTGGCTGATGATTTACTCCAGATTCTTCAACCTGCTTACCAGAAGGAACGGACACACCCTCGGGCTGCTTCACTGGATGATTTCAAGGCATAAGCAAAATGTCACTTTAAGGTCGATCACACATATCTTAAACAAAAGAACAATGTTCTGATTAAATTTATGTCTCAAAGTTTCCCCAAAGACAAAAAGAAAGATTCATTATACAGGTTAGCTCTTTGTGCATTTTATGAAGCAAACCTAAGCCACAGGAAACAGAAACTTAAAGTGCTACAAGAGTGAAAGTCAATGAAAACGAATGGCATAGATACGTAGGGTCTAGCTACTAATTCACGAGCAAGGTTGATACATGAATCAACATACCTGTTAAATTCAGAGATGGAGCTGTTGGTTCAGTTAGTCTTGGACGTTTAATGTCACGCTTCTGTTCATATGGACTAATAGATTTAGCTTCAGGTTTCCCTACCGCTTTGGTCGTATTCTGTCTTTTGTCATAACTTTTATGAACTGGTTCCGTTGCTCCCTGCGCTGATTCATCGTTCTTCAGTACAATCAGCTTTTTAAGAATTTTAGCAGGAAACATATTCTCAGCTTTCGCCTCTTTGATGTACTTAATGGCCATGACTGCATCAGCTCTTCTCTTCTCCCTCCTTGCTTTCTACAACAAATCAAAAAGCTTAATCAACTTACATCAGACATGAACACAGATCATAAGCCGGGATTCAATAGAACACACATCATAATCCAGATTGAATAGAGCACAGAGAGAGATATTAGCTTACCTGCGCCTCCACTGAAGTTCCAGTCCCAGCAATCACTTGGGCAGCTTTATTTGAGGAAATCAAGAACTCAAGCAAAAGTTCTCCTGGTCGATTTCCTGGACAAAGCTTGTATAACCGGAATTCACAGATAAAGTTCAGTGTTGCGAGATACTCGTCCCTTTTCTTTAGCGTTTCAACCGCACCTGCAGAGCAATTCACATGAAGTTACCATTTTTGAGCAACAACTACTATTAATTAGTCTAAAAACAAGAAGCAACCCTTACCAAAAACTTTATCTTCTAACCCCAGACGCCGAAACAGTTTCGGGGCATGATCATACAAAAGAAAGCGCTCTAAAAAGGTTAAGAGCACCTCACGAGTAGTCACAGAAGCTAAACCATAAGCAGCCAGAAACAACAAACAACCTAAAACCTGCGGGTCATTATTCAGATTGGCTTTTGCCTTGCCTAACCAATCAATCCCAAGTTGAGTCGCTTCCTGTTTAACCTCCGGTGTGATTCTCAGATTCATCTGTAACAGATTCTCTAACAGAACAATGCAACTATTAACTACTCTATCATCAGCTTCTCCTAAATCTTTTTTCCAGTATTCCTTCAATGACCCTTCTACAGCATCCAAAATAACCTTTGCTGGATCCAAATACGGAACCATTCTCGCCAAGGTTGTGTTTTTCTTAACTAAATCATCCGCAAAATCGTTTGCATTCTCGTTCAGGTATAAAGCTGAACACTTTATAGGCATTGTCACATTTAAGCCCATGTTCTTAGCCAACAATGACACCAATGGCTCAAATTCATCTCTCAACTTACCCCCGGCGACAATCCGTTCTCTTTGCTTCTCTACTTCTTTCACCTTCATTTCAAGCTCTTTTGCTCTGACATCAAGTTCCATCAACTTCTCATCAGAAAACCTCTCCACCGATTCCATCCTCGTCGTAAACTTTTCCAATTGTTCAACTTCTCCTTTCCTCTTCTCAATCTCTGCCTTCTGTTCCAAATCAAACTCCTTCTCCTTCTTCTCCAACTCGCTCTGTTTCACTTTCATTGACTCATCAATCAAACAAAGCTCCTTCTCCTTCTTATCGAGCTCGCTCTGTTTCGCTTTCATCGACTCATCAATCAGACAAAGCTCCTTCTCCTTCTTCTCCAATTCCAAAGCTTTAACCTTCATCGATTCCTCCAACTCCTTGGCTCGGTCCTCGAGGACGTTTCTGGTGGAATCGAAATACGATTCGATCTCTTTCCATTGAATTGTAAGTAGAAGAAGCGAATGAGCACCTTCTTGGAGAGATTCTAGGGTTTTGCGGAAGTTACGCTTGCTTAAATCAACAAGCTCTAAGCCACTCGTTACCTTCTCCATCAAGCTACCCATTAACAATAAAACCCTAATAAGTTACACCGCAAAAGCAAAAATCAAAATCAAAATTCTCAAAAAAGCAACGAACTTTGAATTCTTCACTCTTCTGCAGTTATTGTTCTCTCTCGGCGCCTGAAAAGTTGATAATGATGAAGTATTACTGTATTAGCCTATTAGGGTAATATTTTTTTATTAATTTTATTTTCTGTTTATGAATTAAAATAACATATTTAGGAGAAATATAATTGGGAAAATACGTCCTCACCGCCTTACCAGGGAAAAAAAAACTTGAAAAGGAATGTTTATATTTTGTCCAAAGAGAAAAAGAAAGTTTTAGAGGGAAAAAAAAAGAGAAAAAGAAAGTTTATACTATTTTATTATTTTGTCATCGTTGTTAAATATGTTTTGAAATTTATGTATGCATGAAAAAGCATTTAAAAAATTTTCTAAAAAAAATACTGAAAAATACGTTTTGGAAATGTGTGTGTATAAAACACCTAACATCAAAAACTATATTTTAAAAAAGAAAATTGAAAGAACACAAGTCTAACACATAAATATTAAATAATTAAATTATAAAGATTTATATAATGTTTAAAATCAAAGATTTAAACCATCATTTTTATTAATTTGAATGATTTATATTATTCAAAAAATTAGGTTATTTTAAAGTTATAAAAATACCATATATATCCATAAGTATCAAAATAAAATAGCAACATTTCGTCAAGTTTTTAAAACAAAATCAGATGTTTCCGTCACGCTTCAAAAAAAATTAAAAAGTCAGACGTGTCCAACACGCTTCAAATTATTACAAAAAAAATAAGAATCGTGTTCTACCGCGTTTTTTCTTGTTTTGAAGAGTTTCCGATTCCAAAGTATTTTTCCGTGCTTCCAAGAGTTTACGATTCCAAAACAAGAAACCAACCTCAAGTTTTCGATTCCCAAACAAAAAACTGACCTCGGATATAATTTCCATGCAACATACTAGTCAACTAATTGTTCTCTAACTAGTAATTAATGAAGTTATTATTATCACTATAACATACAAAATGATTTTGCCTAAGAGAATTCAATTCAATTCTTTAAAGTTAGATTTGAAATTTGATATTATTTTAAAAAATCTATTTGTGTGGATATCAAAGTCTCTACTATATATCTTTGATTTTGATTCTAACAATTTACTTATGAAGCTCTAAAGAGATTTCGTTTCAAATGACTTGATATACAAAAATTTAAAGTCTTTTAGTTTTGAATAACAAGTATTTAAAATTTTAGATGAATAACACAAACTTTAAAATCTATTAAATATGATTTACAAATATAAGATCCAATAATACCAAATTTTAAAACATGATTTAGAATCATTAATTAAATAATAGTGGATTAGTGTTGGATTCAATTCTATTAAAATCCATGATTGAATAACATCCCCTAGTTAACCTTGTCATTCTGTAACATAAGGATGTTTCCCTCTGCATATTCTTTTTTACATTACGACTTTGGAAAGAGATTAACAGATATTATCCACAAACCAATCTAGACAAAAAGACCAAATCTATTTCTTGTTATTTACTTATTAACTACTAGCTAAGCTAGCTTGAACCCTAGAATACTAGAATCTGCCATAGCTTGATGGATTGAAGCAAGGTCTAATCACAGGTCTAGAAACCGAAGGATCCATCCTTGGGCGTTTGAAACCAGCCTGGTGTGAAGGTTGACCATGGAACACAGTTGAACCACCAGCTTGATATGTTTCCAAGTCTAGGACCTGTTGATTTGGTGATGCACCAAGGATTGTTGGAAAGGTCGGGTTTGAGCCATGAGTGGCGATGTATGAGCTGTGAATGACTGTGTGTGAAGCCTGCATATGAACCTGCGGAGGTTGAACTGGGACAAATGATGAGACCACATATTGGTTCTGATTTTGAATTTCTCGTGGAACCATGAATTTGACGATAAGGTCCACAGGAAGATCTATATCCAGCTTGAAGTCTTCGATGAGGTCGATTATGTCTTTCAGTTTTGCAGCATCTCTGTCTTCAGCCTAGAAGTCAACATATAATACAAATAAAAACCATCAATGACAATGGAATATACAGTTTGGGAAGAGATGGATCAGAAGCAAGCTTTAACCTGTGAATCAAATCTTCTCTCTTCCTTGGCAGAAACTCTAAGATTGACGATCTCATCTTTCAATAATTCCAGGGGAGAAAAGTTGGACTTCAGCTTGAAATAGAAGATAAACCGGATAGCCATAAAATAATGGCGTTCGTCTAGGAGTTGTTTAACCACGTCTGCAAAGACAAAAACGAGTCATAACATATTTCATTTATCTTTTGGGTATCACTACTGCAAGGAAGAACTGTTAAGAAAAAAAAAAACAATGTGTTGCAGAATTAAAACTTACTTGGGATGGCATAACTAAGACCAAGAGATTCAAAGAGTTTCGGAGCCTGTTTGAAGTGAGCAACATATGAAGCAAATCGTAAAGTATTTTCTTGACTTGTAGCATGCACCAACCCATATGCCACGATGAGTTGCAGAAAACCCCAAGCCTCAAGCGATGACATTTGAGCACTATTTCCCATCATCCAGCTCCATAGATTTGCCACTTTTAGTGCATCTGACAGTACATGTTTGCTAGATCTTACAACACGTGGCAGCTCCTCCAAAAGGGGAATCAAAGTCTTAACTACAGGCTCTGCTAAACCCAACTCTCCTCTCTGTTGAGCACCCATGAGTTCATCGTTGACAAAATTTAGAACATATGTGGCTGGATCTTTCATACCTTGAAGTCCAGTAAAGACCTCGTTGGGTGAAAAGGAAGCTGAGCCCTCAGGGTCCAAAAGAACATCTTCATTACCCAAATGAGATGATGCTATGGTTTCTTGGACATCCGGGCTGCGAGAATCACTGCTATTTCTGATTGGTGCTTCACGGGGCAGCTGTTCAGGCTTATCATCCAATAATAGTACATTGTTGACTGGGCAAAAGAAAAAAAACCTTCAATAAGCATCACAAGACTAAATAGTAGATCTTTGACTCTTATTTCTTAACGCTCTAAAGTTTTAGTATTGGTTTGCTTGTAGCAGAATTAGATATCTAGACGATATGAGATCCGGCTTTAAATAATAATTTATGGCAGAACAAAAAAAAATCATGAAAAGAATCTTTATGCTACTTGAAGAGAAAGAGACGAGAAAACAAGTGAATCTTTTTGCTGAGAAAACTTACCAGGTGCTAGAGATGATACTCCTAGAGCCTCACACAGACTTGGAGCGTATTGGCGAAGAAAGGCGGCATCAAACAGATTTTGGACCTTGTCGGCATCAAAAGTGTATGCCAAACTGAATGCAGCTAGAAAGTGCAGAAAACCCAAAACCTCCACTGGATTCTCTGCCTTGACCAGTGTTGTGTTCTTCCATTCAGTGGCTGATTTGATAGCTTCTACTTGTACTTCAGTCTTGGGCTCTGGTGACATATCCATTAAACATTCCAGCAAGCAAATACTACTCCTTCTAACACTATCTGGATCAAGCTTTGTTACTGCCATCCTTTCATGAAGCCCTTGTATTGTGTCTAACACAAGCTTTGCCGGGTCAGAAGATGCTTTTAGAGCACGCAGAACATCGAGGTGAAGCTGATCACATCTCTTCAGATGCCCACGTAAGAGTAACTGCAAAGTCTTCTCGTCACATACACTAGCGTCTCGCACCAAGTCAACTTGTTGATCTGGGTTGTTTTGTTGACAAAAGCTGGCCAATTTCTTTGCATTCAGCTCATAATCCTTAACACATTTAGCCAACTTTTGTTCTGTGGATTTCAGTTGCTCATCTTTTTTATCAATCCTTTCTTCCCGAGTATCAAGCTTTTTCTCTTTCAGTTCAATCTTTTCTGAGCGAGCACGAATTCGCTTCTCCTTCAGTCCAAGTTCTTTCTCACGTTCCATCAATGATGCTTTCAATTTGACTTGCTCCGCCTCTTTAGATTGAAAGTCTTTCAAGCTGTCTTGAATCTTTTTAATCTCTTCTTGTAAGGACTTTAACTCCTTCTCTTTGATTTCCCAGTTTTGGAGGCACTCTCTGTATGTATCTTTCACAGAGCCAAGTTCTTTTTCCTTTGTAACAAATTCTGCAGTGGTATTTTCTAGACGTTTTTCAGTCGAATCCAGTTTTTTCTGTTTTACAAGTTGTTTCTCAGAGAGTTGCTGGATAGTTTCCTCTTTAGAGACAATCTCCGAGGATAGTTTACGAATAGCCTCCGTTATCTCATTGTGTCTCTCCTCTTTAGAAGCAAGTTCTTCACTGTGTTCCTCGAGCAGCAACTTGATTGATTCAATGTGACCACTCCGTTCCTGAATCAGCCTTTCAATCTCCTCCAACTCCCTACCCTTTGATTTAATCTGTTTACACGTCTCCCTCATTTCGTTATTTAGTGAGTTGGCCAAGTCAAGGTCCAGACTCAGTCCGTCCAACTCTTTCTTTTTAGAAACAAGTTCCGAGGACCGCGTCTCAAGCAACTTCTGCTGAGAAGCTAGTTGTTGTTCCACCGACTCAAGCTGCTTCCCATACTCTGCAATGTTATCGAGAACCGCTATAAGCTCTTTCCTCTTTCTCTCTATTTCCTCTGCCAATTCTCTACTGCGAGTTTGACTCTTTTCCAGATGCTCCATCTCTGCGCTGACCTCACCACGATGCCTCTCAAGATCACTATCCATCTGCTCTAACTGTTTCCCTTTCAATTCAACCTCACCCTGAGTCTTTATTAGTTCTGAGGACCGTGCCTCAAACAGCTTCTCACATTCTGCAATTTTATCCATAACCAATGTGAGATCTTTAGTCTTTATCTCTATTTCCTCTTCCAACCCTCTCCTGTGAGTTTGAGTCCTACCCAAATTCTCCTTCTCTGCATTGACCTCAACACGATATTTCTCAAGATCAATCTTCATCTGCTCTAACTGTTTCTCTTTTACTTCAACCTCACCCTGAGTCTTTATTAGTTCCAAGGACCGTGTCTCAAACCGCTTATCACATTCCGCTAATTTATCCCGCACCAATGTGAGATCTTTCGTCTTTCTCTCTAACTCCTCTTCCCACTCTCTCCTACCATTTTCAGTCCTACGCAAATACTCCTTCTCTTCCTTGACCTCAGCGCGATATCTCTCAAGATCAGTCTCTATCTGTCGCAACTCTCCCCCCTTTAAATCAAGATCAACCTGAGTCTTTCTCAACAATTCCACAATCTCACTAAGTTGACTTCTCTTTGACCTTTCCTCAACACTACACTCTTCCAACGACTTCCTAAGAAAACCCAATTCCTCTCTTTTCTCTTCAACTTCACTCCTAAAACCATTAGCTTTCATTTCTAAATCACCCATCTCAGCTTCCGCTGCTTCAACAACTTTAGCCCGTTCTTCAAGAGCAAAACTTCGACTCTGTAACTCAACCTCCTTCAACACTACTTCCCTAAACCTCAACTCTACCTTCTCACTCGTTGATTTCAAATGATCCTCTAAATCACACCACTGAAGATTCAAGATAAGTACATCAGAGGCTTGAGACTTAATCGTATCCATTGTTTTACGAAGATTCTCTGTCTTCACATCACAAAGCCTTATCTCGTTTTCCAAGTTAATTTCCTCCATTTTGTTCAATTTCTTCAACTCCACGGAAGAGAGTCTACAAAAGAGAAATACCCAACAGAGAAAACTCACTAAATCACCTTCGAAATCAATAAAGCTCTCTCCTTTATGCCAATTGCAAGCAACAGAGAACCCACAAACAAAGAAAGTAACAAAACCCCAAAAAAAAGACAGTACCTTTGTCGTCTCCGTACAGAACCAAAGACTGAACAGAGAAAACGGTAAGAAAATTAGGGTTTGAAACAATCAGACGAGAACAACGGATTCTCGACGCGATTCGCAGAAATTAAAAAATGGCAGAGAAGGAAGAATCAAACCCTAAAGCGAAAGAGAGAAGAACAAAAAGAGAACTTTGTACGACGAGAGTGCTTCAACGGTGTGTCTTCCTTATTTCGCAGCTTTTGACAGAGACTTTCGTTTTCATTAGTTAATGCCTTTGTTTAATTATTAGCGAAAGTGTGGTTTCAAAACTGAGATAATCTCTGCTTAAATTCGTTCGCTTCGAATTTTACCTACCAAAACGTTACTAATCATTAGTATTTCATTTAATATTAGTACATGTATTAGAATACTTAAATTATTTTGTTCTTTTGCAGTCTAAATTGAAAAGAAATATCACTGTTTCTTCTGACATGTCATATGGGATAACATGCTTGTCTTTCTGAATGTCAATATCAACAGAATAATGTCAATGTTGAAAAAATCACATATTATTTTAACTTTTAGGCTTTCAAGTTTTTCTTTGTTTTATCAACAACAAAAGTTCGAAATAGAGCTGCAGATACATATGTTTTGATTGTAAAAGCGGTATCAAAAACTTTACAAAAAAATACTGCGGTATTTTGTGTCGTAATAACTTTTAAGCTTTCAAGTTTCTCTTTGTTTTATCAACAAAACAAAAGTTCAAATAGCCTAATAACTCTAAAATAAAAAATAAAATAAAAACTCTAAACAGTTATATGGTTTTGATTGGGACACTATAAATCGTCGTAACCAATTATTAAAACGGTATCAGAAACGATCTAAAAATTACAAATATTTTGTACCGGTATATTTTTCCGTTTTTAATTATTTGTGTATCGTTTACTATTTTTTGCACCGCTAAAAAACTCGTAATGTTTTGCGTTATCAAATGAATTATGTATGTTAGTGATTTTTATTTATGATAATAAAATTGTAAATAAATTGGCTTCATTTATTAAATGTTTTCATAACATGGATATTGCATGTTTGTTTAACAAATATCATATTATTTTATTGAATGATATATCATTTCCTTAAATCCAGCTTAAAATTATAAATTGTTTACTACTCTTTTTTGGTAATCCTGGTTTTACAAACATTTTAATTACTTAGTAACTCTTGTTAATTTCTGTTAAAAGTTTTAGCGATTTTGGTTATTTTTTATTATTCATATTGCAAATATCAGCAAAAACTCGATTAATATTACTATTATTAATATTATTGTTTATTAATAATATTAGTTTTTAGTTTTGGATTGTGGCGCACAATTTTCAAATAAACAAAAAAATTTTGGCAAACACAAAATCCACACAATAAACACAACAAACATCGGTGTTTTGGAAAACTTTGAACATTTTGGAACATGAACATGAAACTAGAAATTACGAAATTGGTTTGGTGATTCTGGTTATAAAAGCCATGTGACAATAACACTATTTTATTACAGTATGAAAATATAAAACAACTCATTGTAAGAACATCCGTGTCTGTCGAAGCTCCCTTGGCCCATTGGTTGACCAAGGGTTAATTAATGCTTCTACACCAAGAAGTTTGGGGTTCGAGTCCCAGATATTGCGATTTATTAATAAATTTGCAGATTAAAGGAGGCAAGTGTGCAGGAGATCTCCAACGAAGTACAATTATAGCCGTTCGCCAGGATTCTACGCAGAGAGAGAAGTGTCGTCAGGTCGTGGATCAATGAAGGTGTCCGTCAAGAGCATGGAGAAGGAAGTGTCGTCTGTCGTGAATCTAATAAGGGTCGGAAGGAATTGTCCGTTGTAGAATCGTCTATGTAACAGTTCTCATAATTTGCAATAAATAATAAATCTAGACGTAAAAAAAAAAGAACATCCGTGTCTAAAACCCCAAAATATTTCTAGTGTAGATAGTTTTTGATTATAAGTATATGCAATAAATGATTTGGTCATTTATTTGCAAGAATAAACGACGTACGAATAACAAATTCATAAATAAGTTGATTGGTTTATTTATAGCATTTTAAGAAAAAATAATATCATTTTTGCCGCATATTGTTTTTACAAATGTCTTATTAATTTATTTGATAACATAATATCACACTATGTATTTTAACCACATACAAAAATTATTACTTCTTTATAGTTTTACTACTGCATTTTTTTGGCAAATTATGATTCCCCATATGGTCGTCATCTAGCTAACTGACCCAAAAAGTTAATATGTTTCGAAGGACACCCTCATAAAATATTAATCTAACTATTGGCTTAGACTGTGCCAAATCATTTACGTGAAAACTGAATTGTCCATGACACATACCATTTACATGAAACAAAAAAAAAAGGGAAATATCAGTATCTATGCTCAGAAGACCAAAGAATTAAGTATGTATGCATGCTTTTTTAATAATTAAGTGAGCAAGAGAGAGAATAATTTTTTTACCATTTTACCCTTTTTCTAAACACTTGGTTATTTGTCTTTCTTCCCAATCCTCCTCTTTCCAAATTATCTTCTTTCTTCATCGTCACTTCCATTTTTTTCAAACAGATTTTATATCCAATTCTCCATTTGGTTAATAAAATTCATTGTTTTTATATGTAACACACAATTATCACCAAACGATTCATAAAAATAGAGAGAACTTACATGAGTTTGGATGGATTAAACTTTTAATTTGAAGAATTTGGGGATGAAAATTATAGTTTTGTAATTTAAAGTGAAGATGGAGAGGACATAGATAAAGGAAATAAAAAGGAGAGAAGAAGAAGAGAAAGTGGTGAGGTGAACATGGGTTGGAGTTGCAGGTGACAATGAAAGAAGAAGAAAATTTGGAAGAATGACGACAGAGGAGGATACCCGAGAAGAGAATGTAATTTTATTGTTTTTTACGTCCACGATAACACATAAGTTAACCGTGATAAACAAATTATCACGATAAATAAATATGCTAATGCATAAGTTAACGATGCTAATGCATAAGTTAACGGTAATAAATAAATTGTTGAAATAAATAAACATGTCAATATATAAGTTAGTTGATATCAATCAGATAATAAATAATTTAACATGATAAATATAAATTTATCATATAACTTGAAAAGTTATCGCGATACAATCTGATTTATATTGCTAATCAAATAAATAATCACCAAAATCATTATCTTTTTATTTTCTCTCGTGATGAATAGTGTTTTTGATGTTGGCCGAACAGTGTTTTAGTTTTTATTTATCGCGATACAATTTGATTTACATTGTTAATCAAATTGATAACCACAAAAATCATTGTTTCCTTATTGATTCAAATGATAGATAGTGTTTCTGATAACAAATGAACAATGTTATTTTTACTGTTAACACTAAATTATTTATCTTGTTATTATTTTTGTTAGCATTTAATTCTAACAAAGGGTAGTTTTGGTATTAATTGGGTCAGAGGAAAGAGAACTAATAAAAAAAAAAGTATGGATAGATTTTTAATTTTGCATTCCTCTATGCATATCAATTAATATAGCCCAAAAAAAAACAAAAAGATGGAAATATTGTCTTGGAGATTGTGCCAAAACTATTTACATGAAAACTGAAAACTCACGAGAGAAATCATTTACTTAAAAAAAAAAAATTATTGGCTTGGCAGAATATGCCAAATCAAATACATGAAAACTGAAAGTACCAAGAGACATATCACTTGGATGTATTTGGCTTGTTTGAGATTTAAGTCAATTAGATCATTTTGTTTGCTTTTACTTTAAAAAAGTCTTCTGCCACTTTGGTCACATGCACAGCTCAATTGTGACTCGTCGTCAATAAGCCAGTTTTCAAACATAGAGCAAACAAGTAAAACAAAAAGAGGACAATGTCTTGTAAAAGGAAACAACAATCAAAGATGCATAATCATGTTCAACGAAGATAAACTATTTTGATCCACACATCTCTTTAGCCCACATTTAACTAAATAGACCTAAATAAGAAGATGACACTCCAATTTTCCTTGAACCCATTCTTGTCCAACACCATTATTGTACAAGACCAAACTCTTTATCTCATTAAATTTATGGTTACTACATAAATCTTCTCACATACTAGTCTCTAATTTCTCTTTCAAGGATCATGAGATTTTACCTCCAGCAAGTCATGTCTTCGTCTTTCATTACCATATCAGAGAGTTACATCACAAAGAGCCTGCTCCTCATATTGATATCAAAGAAGCTGTTATGATTTGTTGAGCATTGACAAGTTTAATTTGGATGTATACAAATACAATGTTAAAACTTGATTTGTACCAATAACTCTAACCACTACGGAGATCGTAGATTGTTACCAAGTCCAAAGAAGAGAAAGTTGATTACCAAACAGTATGTAATCACATCTTTCATGTTACTTGCATCTCAAGTTACTTGTTGCTTAGTCCTCAATCTTCTGTTTCCTTCTTAGATTTGTCTTCTGTCGACATCCGAATTCTCCTCTTCTAGACGTATTTACTACATATAATAAACTTGTCGACAAGTTATTATGTGGCAAGACCATCATGTTCTGCTTGTTTGCTTTAAATTTTTGTCTTGTTAATTGGGTACATTTGCTAGCTAGTATGAAAGAGCTTCATGTTCTGCTTGATGATTATTTAAGATATTTATTCACCGAATTTGGAGTTTTCGTGCTTGAACTTGACTTCTCATGGATAATCTATGGTAAAGGTGACTTCAGCTCTCTAATGAGTTTATCATTAGAGTTTGAATCAAAGCAACTTAATAAAGTGAAAAGAATACTATTACAACTTGTGCTTAAACGATACCAAAACAGGTTTTACATTTGGTGTGAAATTTGTAATGTACGGAGAGGCTTGACTGCTCTCGTGTTGTGTTCATCTTTTAGCAAGAAAGCTCTACTGCTGCTACATGGAGACTTTTCCTGGGACAAAAGGAGCGGTTTATTTGCCGAAAGTTGTAATGTATATACAACAAGAAATATAGAAAATTAGTTTTAAACATAAAGATCAAATTTGTAAGGATAAATGAATATTATTATTATGAAAAATAAAATTATTTATTTTATATACACTATAAATATTGATGTAAATCAATATAAGTATAATTTTTTTTTTTTTTGTTAACTAGGTTGGGTTATGCAAATGTATAATTAAAAAAATTACCGATCACTGAATATTTTATTTTGCAAAATATTTTTTGTATATATACAAAATGATAAAGTAGCAATTAAATTAGTTTTGAACATTTTTCCAAAAAAAAGTAAGTACATGGTTTTAGTTTTGGTGGATTCGGTTTAAAAGCAAATCAAATGGAATATACTGAACCAAAAGAATCAGTTATTGTATTTGGTTTTGGTTTAATTGAAGAAACACTACTAAAACGGTCATAAATCGTAAACCTCGCTTAGAATTTAGTTGGTAAGTTGGTTTAGTTTAAATGCGTTTGAAGATCGGTTTGGTTTAATTGGAAATCGGTTTGGTTTTCAAACGGTCATATAACGTAAGCCTTGGTTTGGACGTCAAACGTGTTTTAAATCCAAAAAAGGATCTTTGAGCTTTCAATTACGAAATAGATATTGTGACCGTTTGCTCTCCAAAACCCAGAATCACCACCGACTCAGAGAGAAAATGATCAATTATAACAACTCTCTTCTCTGCCTTAAGACCCAACGGTTCAATTTCGTTTTTAAAATTCAAACTAAGGCTTTCCTGAGTTTTGTGCTTCTCTCTAGAACGATCGATCTAGAAGATGATGACGATGAAGCAAAAGATGGAGGACGAGAAGGTTCTCGAAGGTGGAGCCAAATCTTCAAGGTTGATCACTTGTTAAAATTCAAACAAACGTTTGTTTTCCAATTCAAGGTTTGATATGAACTGTTGATTATCTCATAGAAGATCTTCGGTGAACCAAAAGACGGAGGAGACAGAGGAAGTCGAAACGCATTAAGGAATTGAAGCCAAATCTTCAAGGAATTTAAGCCTGACATGTCTGTAAGTTATTCGTAAACCTGAACCTTAGGATCTTTGTGACTCTTTTGTTATATCAGATTATTTCTTTGTTAATATCTTTGTTTGATCGATCACTTGTACGATCGTTTTGTTTTCCAATTCAAGCTTGACATGAACTGATTATTCTCGTATTGATTCTCAATTTTTTTTCCTTCTTTCCGTGGTCTTAATATTGATTCTCAATTTCTGACTTTTAAGATCATTGTGATGATTGGTGATGATCCTGATTTGGGTTTTGTTTATCTTCAGATAGTTTCTCTGTTGGTGGAATCAGGAGTTGATCTCCGGAACTACCGTGGACAGGTATGTTGTGATTTAGTGTCCTTTTGTTCTTTGCATTATTGATTGATTTAAAAGTAATCTGAATACATGAATTTTTGGAAACAGACAGCTTTGATGCAAGCTTGTCAATATGGTCATTGGGAGTTTGTTTTGTTTCTGATTCTTTTTGGTGCTAATGTAAGGATTTGATCAACTTTATATTGTGATTTCTGACTGATTATGATTTAAAAATATGTCAGGGGTTGGGACAATGATTGTGTTTCTTGATTATTCCGGTTTTAGATTCACAGATCAGATTACTTAAATGGCAGTACTGCTCTACACCTTGCGGCTCTAAATGGTCATCCTCGGTGTATCAGGATCTTGCTTTCGGAGTATATACCAAGTGTTCCTAATTGCTGGAGCCTATTGAAGAATAAGAAATATTCAGTTGCTGGATTTGATCCAAGGTAAAAAGTGTTTTGTTTTTTTTTGTAAAGAGTTAAGGTAATGCTTTATAGTCACTTGATGATTAGTTAATTGTTTTGTGTAGTGTTCTTCACGATGTGATCAACAGAGCAGCAGATGGAGGAATCACACCTCTTCATGTGGCGGCTTTGAACGGACACATAGAGACAATGCAGTTACTCTTGGATTTGGGAGCTTCGGTTACTCAGGTCAAGGACTATAGTTCTAGCTCTGGTTCTCCACTACTTTTGCTGTTCATGTTCTTTGAAAATGATTCAAGATTATTTTTAGATAGTCGTATGTGTTATGAAGCTTGTTGATGGTTGGCTTTTTTCTCAAGCATAGGGTAACGGTGACACTGACACTGACACGCTTGATGCTGAAACAAGAAGAATGGGACGAGCTATATGCTAAAATCATCACAACTCTCACTAGATCATCCTAGTTTTTATTTCAAGCTGCAGGACTCCCAGAATTTGACCACAAAAGGTATGTTTTCTTGCAGGACTGTCGCTTCGACGTAAACATGTATCGGTATTGACTAGTTGTTAAATGTGAAGGATAAAAGAGAGCCTCCTCGAACCAGGCCGTATGTGCCTGGGTATGTGTTATCACATCAGTGACAATAGTGTTTCTAATTGGCACTCAATTCTTTATTTTGGCAATCCACATGTTGATTTAGTGATGTGTTCGCCAGCTGCATCGGGGTCAGGATCTGTTAACGCATTTGATGCACAACTCTTGCATAACTCTTTTTGTATGTACATTTTTGTGTATTTTAAACGTAGCTTTTGTTTTCATTACTTATTTGGTGTATCTTTTCAGGATAATTTGCAAAAGTGGCTTACTGATGAAAAAGCCAGGGATTAGCTAGTCATTCGTTCTGACCGTCATACTAGATTCTCTGTTGATCGTCTGTATTATTGGGTTGCTCCTTAGTTGGTGTTTGGCCCTTGTTGCATGTCTGCCATTGCTCAGGTTTGTTTCGTTTCTTCAGTTTACCCAAAGAAAGCCTTATGTTACTGTAAATAATACGGCTTGAAATTGTTTTCCTATGTTCTTTTTTTTTTAACTAATTCTGGTTTAAGTAGCCACATGCTTTCCAATTCAATTTTTGTAAAAGATTTCCAATTCAATTAGCGATATAGGTTGTTAATCTTTCTATCTAAGTCATTTATGTCATCTCATCCTCATGCACTTAGCTTTGAAGTATTCGTGTGTTTTGCAAAAGCTGGTTTTTTGTAACCCTTAAAAAATAAATATCCAGATATTTTGGCTTGATGGATTCTCAAAGGGCATCCAGTAGATGCATCTAAAGTTTTCTTTGGTACTCAATGATATTGTCAGAACATAATACAAACATGATCAACTAAGCTATATTCTCTGATGAACTTCTTTTGTAGATGTAAACACACTGGTTGCTTGATTCGCCAGCATACAAAAAGTAGCATGCATCCTTCCAAGGTTGTGGACAATCAAAACAAGGAGATGACGAATGAGTTTTACTTTAAGAGTGCAACGCATGTCATATATTGACCGAAAACACATGTTACATTTAAGCAGGTAGACCTTGGAGCTTGTAATTTATATATGAGCTTCTCTGAGTCTCATTTGAACTAGTTATTTCAAACTTGTATAGTCCTCTCACTAAATTTCCTATCTTAACAGGTTAAGCTGTCAATGATCTCTTTTGTCAACCATCTTGTGGAGATACAACTACAGCAAAGAAAATCTGCTTATGGCTTTTGCTGAACTTCTAAACTGCTTTCGCCAATGTGTTTTATCTATAGCGAAATCACTAGAGGAGTTCAATTGGTGAGGACAGAAAGGATGATTATGTGTTTAGTTTTCCCCAAAATCAACATGCTATCTTCAATTGCTTGTGGCTATATATAGAAGGTATTTCAGCTTTCTAATTTGAATGATGTGCACTGAATCTCTGTTGCAACAACACTGGTTAAGCTGTTATTTTTTGAAATATGACAGCAACTCTTTGATAACATTTTTGCAATGCTTCTTGAGGATTCGGCGTTACTGAGAATGGTTGGAAGTACACACATGAACTCTTGTCAAGCTAGAAAGCTAAAGGATCCCCTGAAGCCTAAATAGCCTATATCTTCCTACCTAATCTATGCAAACGAGAGGAGAGCTGCTTTCTGAGTAGATAACAAGAGCATTTGTGAGGTAATTCAAGTAAAATTCAATTATGATAGTATCTTTCTTACTTTTATTTGAACTATTGAAGCTATTGAATGGTGAGTATTGGTTGCGAAGATGACTAGAAAAGAGTGGAAGAACTTGTCCGCAGAAAAAGGCTCCCTAACGAAAAGGTATGCTCCCATATCAATGATGTGAAACGATGAAAAGTTAAAAGTATTTTCTAACGTGTGTGCGTATATAGCGTATATTTGAACAAGGAGATATACATAAAATGGAAGGATATAAAACAACAAAGAAAAAACATTTTGAACTAAGTCAGCCACTAACAACAGCAGATGTTTCGCGCAGATACGAAAGTGACGACAAAGATATAGAAGAAGAACGAGAAATGTTGACTGTAAGAAACCCAAAAAGTCCTGCTTCTAATTCATTTATTCTATTCTGGTACTTACTTTGAATACTCAAACAATTAGATCCAATCTCAAAAAATTTCTAACTATTTGTTCTGTATACAGTTTTATAGCAAAATGCAAGGAAGAGTTTGTCGAGAAGAGCATCCCGGAATTAAAAAAATCGACACTTCTCACCCATATTTCATTGAAATGAAAAGTAAAGAAACAAGACTTTAGTCGTTGTTACTTGAGAAACTTATTTATTGGTTTAGGAAAAATCTTATTGATTTGTTGGTTTTGGGAACATCTTATTGTAGGAACTGGGTGAGGAAGAGAGCCAAATTTATAATGGAAGAGCTGCAAGTTAATGGAAGCTTACACGAAAGAAATGGAAGCCTTGAAACTTCTGGAAGATGATCAAAAGCAGAAAACTGCAATAGAACTGCTTGATCAAGCCTTGAAGCCATTAACAAGGAGACTTTTCTTGACAGGCTCGCTATAAGGTTGGTCTTCTCCATCTTTTCTACCTTCGAAAATTGTTACTGATAGGTTACAAGAAGGTTGAAATACAATATATATCCTTAAATTTCGTGGGACTATATGTTATATGCAATATCCATAAAACGTTAGGTTCTAGACCAGGTTAGAGAAATCTCAATGCGCGACCATGTCTTAGTGGGTTTAAGAATAAGAATCTTATTGTTATATGCAATAGGATTTAGGGTTTCGGTTTACTTTCGGTTTAACCTAGGGTTTAGACCGAACATAAGTTCAGTTAGGGTTAGAATTAAACTGCAACTTGCGGTTTGGCTTTCGCGATTAGGGTTTCTATCAATCAATCCCTAAACCTCAATTCGATTCCATGCTTTAAAGAGCATTCAATCTCTCGAATTTTGGATTTAGGGTTTCACACAATCAAGCAAAAATCAATTTAGGATTTAGGGGATATCATTGCGATTTAGGGTTTAATCTTTAACAATAAATAAATCAATTTTAAGATCTTAGATAATCATAAGATCAAAATCGCGATTAGGGTTATAGATATTTAGGGATTTATGTTTACCTTTTAACCACTGATTGAATTCTGAATTGATTGGGACCGGGAGCTAAAGACCTCAAACAGTACCGCGATGAACAGTACCGCGATCGGATCTGATGATGTGCGGTTTTTTAGGGTTTTAGCGATTTTTAGGGTTAGGGCTTTTTGAAGGTGGTTTTATTTCTCTAGAGCAAACTCGTGCTGATAACGTGTTATAAACTGTGTAATCTTATTAACACATAAGAGAGTATATATGAGTTTACACGGAAACACATAAAAGGAGATAAAATCTAATGGGCCTTGGGCCGGTTATGGAGTCCATCCATATGATTTATAACCGCCAATAATATTTTGTTGAGAAATCTGATCACAGACGCTTTTTTAGGAGTAGAAATATATTATTTCTTATATATATGTAACAAATAGATTAGAACTTTGAACAAGAACCATTATTGTAGCAAGGCCCGGTCTGTAGAAGACGAGATTCAAACTCAAGACTTGACACTAACTTATTAACTACATAACCACTAGGCTAAGCAAGTTTCTTTGTAATGTGGCCCTAAAAACTTTATTATATTTTGTGGCCTAAAGCAGATGCTTTGCCTGCTTTATGGGTGGGCCGGGCCTGATTGTAGCTATGACATCTCGTCTAGGCAATCTCCGGCTATACAAAGTTGATGTGCCTTCTTACTCTAACGTCGGAGTTATATTAGTAACTCAAGAAGATCGACAATTGGGTTGTCGATTTCGATTGACGCGATATACGGGACAACGACAAAGAGATTCAAAGGCTGGATTGTCCCAATCATTTGTAGAGTTATTAGGTCGTGTCTTCTTTTTCGCCTAGAAAGATTCCAATATAACTAATCAGATCCTTATTTACTTAGCCTCCAATTTCTCTTTTAAGGATATCTTGATATCGTACCTCCCGCGTGTCCCGTCCTTGTGTTTCACTTCCATATAAGAGAGTTGCATGAGAAAGATCCTGCTCCACAGATTGATATCATGGAAGCTGTTATGAATGTGTTAAAACTCGATGACCCTATGTTGGATGTAGAAGATGCCATTGGAACATTTGTGCGGGTGCGGCCAATAGCTCCAACCACGACGGAAATCGTAGATTGTTACCGAGGTATAGACTTGTGCTTCCTTTGTGAAAAAGGGTATCCCAAAGAAAAAGAGATTGTTTACAAAACAGTATGCAATCACATATTTCATGCTACTTGCATCTCAAGTCACTTGTCGCGTACTCCTCAATGTCTTGTTTGCTCCCGAGAATTGCTACCTGTCGACATCTGAACTCTACTCTTCAAGGCTTGATTTAATATTTTAAGAAAATATTTATTCGCGGTTATATATCCAAGTTTTGATTTCATTGTTTCTTGTTTCTTTTTTAATCGGAAGACCTATTCGAAAACGTTTGTTATATACTTAACAACATATTTTCTCTGACTAGTTATTGTTTGGTAAGAGCATATTATGCTCATTTGCTTCTAGCATGATGAAGCTCAGTGAATTGAAGTTGAAAATGCGATGATTATCGGGTTTTTTCAACATGTAATGTGATGATTCTGCTTAGTAGTCTGGATTATCGCTATTTTTGAGTTTTCATTCCCTCCCAAGTGCTCTTAATTAGCTTTTTTTTGTAAAAATTTCTTCCGAAAACTCCTTTGTTTTTCACAAGTTTTCGATGTTGATTCGAAACATTCATTGGTAAGTTAGTGAATCCATCAACAATGATATCTACCATCTAATAATACTATGGCTATAGTTACAATTAAAGCTACAATTATTGAAGAGACTTTAATAACTATAACATTTATAATTCTGAGATTTCCAATACATAATTATCAGCTAAATATTTGTCTGAATAACTTCGATTTGAGGGAGTGGAGGGATCTATTTGAGAAATAATTAGTTAGTGGTTTCTCCAAAAACTGTTTAGAAGAAGAGGTTCTTCGTTTAATTACATTAAGACCCATGAACTATCTTATATTTACTAATGTTAACCTCAATGTTTTGATTTGGTCAGACCCAACCCAACCATTTATTAGGTTTCCAAATCCAGTTTCGCTCCTCCTTGCTCTAGCTCTCTCTCTCTCTCTGTTCTCTGATTTGATAACCATTGATGAAATGCGAGTTCTTGAGGAAATTGCAGAGTCACCTTTTCTGATTTCACAGCTAAACCCTAATTCAACAGCCAATGGATATAGATGGGTCGATAAGTGCCAAGGATTCTTACACAACACGGTTCTTGTTGCGGCTTCTCTCTTCTTTGTCGCTTACTTAGCTTACGAAGCTAAGAAGAGTTTGTCTAAACTCTCGAATCGGAGATCTTATATCATGATCGCTTATTATGGGTGTCTTTGGCTTGTTAGCTTGCTCAATCTTGCTTGGTGCTGCCTTCAGGTTTGTTTGATTTAAAGATCACAACTTTGATTGAATTAAGACTGTTCTAGGCTCTGCTAAACTCAAATCATAAAGATTCTTTAAGAAAGATCAAAACTTTGATTGAATGATGAGTATTTTAAGACTATTTCTCTGTTCTGTGAAACTCAAATTAGAAACTTTTTGGTCATTAAGTTAGGAATGAAATCATAGTATTTAGTGTTTCTGGATTGGTTTATCGAGTAATGAATGAATCTTTAAGAAAGATGACAACTTTGATGATGAGTGAGCTTATTAAAGACTATTCTAGGCGCGGTGAAACTCGAAATCGAAACTTTTTGGTCATAAATTAGGAATGAAATCATAGTATTTAGTGTGTCTGGATTGGTTTAAGATGTGTTTTGTTAGGAAGATCATAATTGTAACCACTGTTTAGGAAATGAGCTAATGATCCTTGTATCTATATACATATTCCAGATCATAATTGAATATCATGTTTCCTGTTTGGTAAATTTAGTACTTTTGCGTGGTATAGGGTTGGGAATGTACTCCTGGGAAACAAGTTGTTTGGAATCTGTTAACTTTGTTCACAACATCTGGAATGTTGTTTCTGGAAGTAAGCTTGGTGGCTTTTCTCTTCCAAGGAAACTATGCAAGTGGTGCTGAAGCATTAACTAGAACTTTCCTAATCTCGGGTTTTATTGTGGCTCTTGATTTGCTTCTCAAGGTATCAATCTTCTTCACTACATATCTCTACTTTGTCTACTCTTTTACCTTCTGATTTCTGAACAAATCTTAGATATGGTGAAAATGACAAGTTTAGGATCTTTCATTTGGTTTTGCCTAAGTTTTTGATATAAGTTTAGGCCTTACCATTTCTGTAATCCTTACGGCTATTCACCCTTTATTCAGGCAATATTTCTCTTTGGATTTGGCGTGCCGTTGTTTATTGACAACAATGAAAATGGAAAATCGTTCAAATGGGGTTTATGGATCATTCATAAGCTTCTACTCACTGGCGTTTATGGGATGGTATTCTTGATGTACAACTCTAGGTGGAGAGAAAAATTGCCTGGTAAGTTGATCAGACGCTTCTATCTTCCCATAATAGCCTTCACTGGTTTCTTTCTATATATCATCATTCATGTCTTCTTGTTTTTAACAGCAAGGCCTGCATTCTACAACTACATAATCATCATGTTCGCCTTATACAGCCTTTACCTAGTTGCATCTGCGTTTACCGCAAACAGTGCGCATTTTGGATTCTGGTAACTCTATCTGAAACCATCCCAACAGAGAATATTGTCTCAAGTTCAGCTTGTATCTGCCTTTTAACTTAAAATGATTGCAGGTTGTATGGGATCATGAGTGTTTGCTACCATGCTTTATACCTTCCTCTTCTATACGTTACTTTCCTCGCAGACTTTTTCCAGGTAAAAGTCCTCATCGTTCATCTTCTCTCGCTCTGTCACTCTCTTTTCCTCTCTCTCTCACTCTAAAATGCAAATGGGTTTGCTGCAGGAAGAAGATCTGAACTTGGAGAATGTATACTACTCAGAAATGAGAGATGCTGGATTTTTCGACTCTGATTGGGAATAGGACTAGGGTTACAAACATCTTCCTCATCTTCTGAATCTGTAAATACACGTTGGATAGGATCTCTTAAGATTCGAGGTATGGCCGCTTTTTTTTTCCCGGCTTTGTGTTACTTTTAGGGTTTAGTCTTGTCTGTGTTTGTACTTGTCCCTCATGCTTCTTTCTCTTTTATTTATCTAAGTTTCTTGTGAATCTCTCTGTTCCTCGATAATCTAAAGGAAAGTTTTGTAGTAGTCCAAAGATTGACACAATAAACCACTAGGGAAAATTAAGACAATACAACAAAGCATGACACAATTGAGCAAAAGACAATAACAAAACACAAAAGCCTTTGGTTGTTTCCTTAACTAAGCAGTCTTCTCTTGGACGAGTTCTTCAATGAGTTCAGCAGCCTGTTGGACTGTTGCAATCTCCTTTGCTCTCTCTTCCGCCATTGTTATCCCGAACTCCTCCTCCAAACCCATCACTATCTCAACCTGCAAAAAGAAAGCAGAATTTGTTGATGATGTCCAATGAGTTTTGAGATACAAGAGACAATGAGAGGATATATACCGTGTCGAGAGAATCAGCTCCAAGTTCGGTAAATTTGGTTCCCGCGGTGACTTTTTGATCATCGGTGAGCGACAATTGCTTCTTCACAATCTCTGACACTTTCTCCACTGTCTCTTGCTTGACCTTAAACCACATAAATACCTCACGTTACTTTTATTTATTCAAACAGGGTCCAGAACTCAATAAAATGTAGAGTTAAAACAACATACTGCACAAGAAACTGCGAGACGAGCAGGCATCGAACGTCGATGCAAGCTGAATGAGAGATTAGTCTTTCTATTGTTGAAAATCGAAACCGGTTTCTGAAGACTGAATCTTGTTGTTTTAGCCTGTTTTCATCATGCATTTACAACGACAAAGAAAGCAATGAGGATAATTGTGTTACAAATGCAAGCGAGTCTGATCACAAAAGCATACATCAAAGATGTTATGAACTCTTTATTGATAGTATAAAAAAATATGGTACTAATCGAGGCAAATGATAATCGATATTATGTAACGTTAGCAAAAAGAAGAAGAAGAGAGAGAAGTACCGAGATAGGAGCTTGCATAGAGATGGAGGAGCAGAAACTTGACGCCATTATCGATCTGATCGCGAGAGAGAGAGATGGCGGATTGTTCAAGAAGCGTGAATTACAATTTTGTAGATGATGGCGTTGGCAATGATGGGATTTATATATTTATAAAGGTGGTCCTGATGAAACGACACCGTTTTAAGAGAATCATTGACTGGGGACATATTTGGGCTATTGTAGGGCTCGCTCGTAGATCATGTGTAAGCCCAACTAAATATACTTCGGACTTTTTTTTTTTTTTTTTTTCTTTTAATAAAATCCTTTATGCTTTTTATTATATTTTTTTTTGCTGTAGCACACAAGATGATTTTTTTAATGGATATGCCATTCATAAGAAAATTTGATAGATCTATTTAAGTTCTTTTTATCCGGTTTTGTCATCATAGGCTTGGAGAACAACTAGATGAATTATTAATTCAATATTTTTTTTAAGTGTGTTTCTGAATTCACCAAATTGGAAAAAATCAATCGGCAAAAAACCAGAACCTTACAAAAATGTTACTATTAAAGTATCAATAATATGATAAGAGAGAGTAATGTTTTAAGAAAAAATGGAATTACCGTGGTTTGATTCGAAGAATTAGGGATAAAAAACCAAAGAAAAAAAATAAGAATATTTTTATACCAAAAAGATGAGATTTTGAAAGTAAACTACGTCTTTGTATCATACCATATCACCATGGGAAAAACAAACATGAGTCTGACTACGATGTTGAGCAAATTGTATCAATGCAGTATCGGCGACATCATATTCTACATCTGCTAATAATGATCTCACATAAATCCTTTTTTTATTGCTAACGTTCTTGTCAATATCTGACTAAAAAAATATTTATTTATGTATGCAAACTCTCATTCTTGACAAATATAAAACGATTTAGAAGAATTTTGGAAATTTTCTTCGAATATTTTGTTATTCGAAAGTTATCGGAAAAAAATAACATGAAAGTAGAGCTTCTATGGGTGATGTTTAAAATTTCTAATTGTTAAAAATCTCTAACTTAAAACATATACATGATTACTTATAAACATTTTTTTTGCCTCTAAAACCTATAACTTCACTATCTTTGTACAAAAGATGTCCAAATATGTGATAACTATAACAACTTCCAAGCCGATATATTCTAATTTTGCGCCATTCTCTCTCGTTAACTAATCACCAAAAAGAAAGCCAAAATTTAATAACAAACTTAGCTTCTTCACAATGTAACAACCTCCAAGTAAGAGACGAAGATAACTGAGAGAGAGATATTATGGAATCTGATTAATTCTCATTAATTGTGTAATGTATACTATAGTTTTCTTATATACCACATTAATCTCTTGCTAACACAAGCTAACTTAAAGGTTAACATTAGCCTAATATGCTATCATCCACTAGTGAGTAAAATACTCATAATATTTAATATGGTCTTCTCATTTGGATAACAAATAGTTATTCTATTAAAATATAAATTTCAAGACCTACCAAATTTTATTGTATTAGGTTCAGTTAACATTTGTTTTGACAAAAATAAAACAATAAAGAATTTTTTTCTTTTTATTCTTATTGTCCAAAATGGAACCAAACCGTACCAATCTGGTTAAGTTCGCAGCAATAACCAAATTCAAAACATAAATAAACGCATAGTTTTGTTACAACAAAACAAAATGAATATACATACATCAATCAAACCCTTCAAAGTTTTCATGTTTTGCTTTCTGCTCTCAAAACGTTAGGACAGATTTCTGTCCTCACAAACAATATTACAAATGGATAATTTACACAAAAGCATAATTTGAATCACCCTTTTCTACCAAAAATTAAAGCTTTTATTCCACATTTTCTTCAGGCCTTACTGAGATCAGGAGGGTTTCTCTCAGTTGGAGAACCAGGGACGAAGGGGACAAAGCCACGACCTCCAAAGACGGGTCGCATGAAGGAGTCATCAAATTGTCTCCAGTAGTAATGCACGGTTCGAGTGGGCCGTGTCAAGAAGCCACGTATACTGTCAGGCCGAGGTACATTGTGGTTCCCTGAAGGCTCAATGAATGAGTCTTGGTCTAGCAAAGGGATATGGATGGATTTTGGGGTGTTGTCATCAGATAACATGCTCGTGGTAGCGTTCTGGTGCGGCAATAGGTAGCTTATGAGCGGTTTGGTCAGCATACCAAACACCTGAAAACAAGGTTCAAGAGAATCTATTAACCAAATACCCAATTCAGTTAAGAAAGATTATGTAACCCATTTGAACATGCAGAGATTTCTTACCACTGTGCTAAAAAGACAGACGGTTATCGTACTGGTGATCATGATTGCATTCCCGCGTACATCTGTGTGCCCGGCCCTTGTAAACTACAACAAAAACAAGTGTGAAATGATGATTTGTGTCATTTAAAGCTTCATAGAGAGTAACTTAAGACATTCTTTTTACCTTGTTGTATGCAAGAGCCATAGATACAGCACCTCTCATAAGACCAGACCACCAAATCACAACCTGAATGATGGGGAAAAAAGATAGATATAAACAACTGAGAACCAGAAGAATTATTGAATCTAATGGTACCAAGTAGTAAGATACATACCTGCATGTTAAAGTTGATTTTCTCGCTTTGGTTCTTCTTGGCTAGGTTAGATAGAAACGATAACGGAAAGACGAATGCTGCTCTTCCAAGCATGACCAGACCCATTAGGATTGAGCTCACTGCGATCGATGTTCCCGGTGTGTCACTCACGGATCTCCACTTGTCAATGTCCAAGGCATCCATTCCAACATACAAGAAGATAAATGTCTCCGCAAGAAACGACAATGTTGCAAAGGTATGCCTGTGTCATAGAAAAATTTATAAGATAAGCATTGGGAGGTACAACGTATTGTTTAGAACTGATTTACAGCCAAAGTGGATAAACTGGAGATTGCATACTTTGTAGTAATTCTTGAGCTCTCGGTTACATTGTGCCATGTGTAATGGGACATCACAATACCACAGAAAAACACAGTGAGAATACCGCTCAAGTCGAAAAGCTGCCAGCCAAATAATATAACATCAGTATATTTTGTGTTTGAATGCAATTGAATATATTCGTGTTCTTTCATATAATCTAACCTCAGCAAGCATATAAGAAAGATACGCCATAAGCATCATAAGGGCAACCTCTCGGTCGGTTGAGTGCCTGAAACACGCCATGCGAGGACATATACGTTAGACCAAACAAGAAAAAACTTATACAAACCAGTCACATATATGATGCCAAATATGTACCTTCCAAAATATAACTTCTTGATGACATACGCACTTATCAGACCGGTCTGCAAGATGAATAACAAAGATCGAAAGATGGTGTGAACACAAGAGTATGCATATAGCAGTTTAAAGAAAGAATGGCAGAGAAGCAAACAAAGGACTTACAGCAGCACCAAGCAAGGTACTTAGGAGAAACAAATACAAGAAGTTTCCCAGAAGATGAAAAGCAGCTTCATGGTTTAGGTGGGTGAGGTCAAAGCTCTGAATCGCGTTGAAGACAACAACTGATGTGGCATCATTCACAACACCCTCTCCGAATACAAGACTGTAAAGCAAAGGTGTCTCATCTTGATTCAGAACCTATATCACAACACAAGAGGGGAACAAACACTTTCGGTCCACTATGTTTCTGAGTTTGTAAGTACTTTGAGTGATTTTGGAGATAAGACATTACCTGCAGTGTACACACAGAATCTGTTGCGGCAAATATTGCACCGATAGCTGAGAAATAAACACCGAAAAACAAATCAAGTCTCCCAGAATAAAAACTGATACAGTAAAGCAATAGGAACAAAAAAAAAAAACATTAGTTCTTGCATTACCAAGATAATCACCCAAGTCAAAGGTCCCAATATCCAATTTCTTAAAGAACTGTGTTACACCTGTTTCAAGAACCACCAGATTATCAGTAGAGATATACAAAACTATCTGGACCTAATCCAAAAGCCTCATTCAGCGGTTTTTTCCGCCAAACGGAATGGCAAGTAAACTACCTAGAGATATGATTGTGCAAGAAATAATAGTCCCGACAGCACCGAAAAGCATAATAGTCACGAAATTGCGGAAAAACTGCTTCTTTTTTACTTGAAACCTGAAATAGACAACAATAACAACAAAATAATTCATCTGAGAAAGCATACAGGGAAAAATGAAGCTGAACATAGTAAATCCATGACAAAGACAAAGCCAGGACCACACTTACTTGCACGTGTATAAATCTAACTACTTGAGAAAAGACATCATGCCCTCTTTTCTTTATAACAATCACAAGTACTAGAAAAAGTTGATGTATGACAGGTATTTACAGAACTAGAGCTTAAGCTTTCTAATCAACATCTTTAAAGCTTTGTACTAACTCTCTCACCTAGAAATCTAGAATCACATCATGCATGCTTTTCAAAACTAATATTGGTATAAAGTTTTTCTTTCAATCTTTTTTATGTAACTTTTTAAGGTAAAACCGTGCGAATAAACGTATTAGATCGTTAATTACTAAATCTGATCAAAAAGAAAACGCAACTATTATCTCAACAAAGAGAAAATGACTCAAATGGATGTTAAAAAAGACTGACCCTGCATTGAATATAATGGGTGGCAAAAGATATATGAAGAAAAGATCTTCACTAAAGACGAGAAGATGCGAGCTTTTTCCTTTACTAATCAACAAAATGGCAACACCAGTGCCAAGCCCCTGCAACCAAAATGGCTCAAATGTCATTCAAGATGATTCTCTTCTATTTGAGATTAATAGACAAGTCAGTGAACTTACAATCAATAAGGCGGTAATGGATTCGTTCATCCATCGATTCTCCTCCAAAAGATGACCAAGAACAATACAAGCACAAAGAAGTGCAACAAAGAGATTCAACGCAACCACAGAAGCGTGATCAGATGTCGATAATGAAGGCAGTTTCGACACTAAAGAATCGAAATGTGATGCCAACATTGTTATCTTCTAGATCCAACAACTTCCTCTTTCCAGATTTGATCCAAGTACATGAACAAGTACAACAACTATTCAGATTTTGGATCAGCAAAATCGGAAAATCTCTAATCTTTCCGTGCTGTCCACTGAAACCATTCCTGTTTCAACAAAACAGAGCTGAGACTAAGCAGTGAAGCTATGTATGTATGAATGAATCAGCTTTGACTATAAAAACATTATTATTATAAAAAAAAAACACAAAGGATTTCAAAAAAGTGAATCCAAATCTGAGACTTTTGATACATACAAAAGCAGCACAAATCCCAAAAGGCTAATATTATACTAAATGATAACAACATAAACCAAATTCTCAAAATTTCCCATTTTTGGTAATAGCCCAGATTTCAAATTTCTCCCAACAACAAACAAACACAAAAACTTCAAACAAAGCTACAAAAAAAATGGTGGATCTGAATTACTTACCTTAAACAACTTCTTGGTAATCTAATTATCTTCAAGCTTCTGTGTAAAATTCTTTGCTGAGATCAAAATTGAGATCAAAATTCAAAATTTTCGAAGCTTTTGGAAGCTAAAACCTGAGATTCTTCTTCTTCTTCTACGACGAACGAAACAGAGACGCGATTTCGAAGACGAATTGGAGAAGGAAACAGAGGAGAGAATTACGGAACTGAGAAAATGATACGAATTTCGATTTTTACTGGAAATAGAGAGAGACGTGTACGGTCCCTTTTTAAGAGAGAAGATTCCAATTTCTAAAAACACAGTAGAGAGAGAGAGAAATAAGTTACAAATAGGAGAGAGATAGTGTTATTCTCTGTTGTGTAATAAAAGTACAAATGGCGCATTTGTAGCCGTTGATTTAAATTTACTATCTGTGATCTGAACAGTTTAGTGTTTGGATTTGTTGTGGAGCTTATCGTAGACGATAAAACCTGACTGTACTATATAAGATTAATGATTTTTCTATTTGCTTTGTCGTACTTTCGTTTTTGTCTGGTCACATTGATTTTTTTTTTTTTGTCGCCTCGATGCTGAAATTTTATGGGAAAACGGCTTTTTTCAACCTCAACTATTTGCTGGCGGGTTTTTCCAACCCAAACTATGACCCCCAGTCGATTTTAACCCAAACTCAAAGATAATTCAAAATCGAAACCTGAACTAATGCAAATGAGCCGATTTCAACACGACGCAAAACGGTGTTAGTTCAGAAGTTAACGGTTGCTCAACCTTGGGTAATTCTCTCTTTACAGCATTCAGCAAACCCTGAAAATAAAATCAAATAACATTCAGAACCGTTAACTTCCGAACTAAAATTGTTTCGCGTCGTGTTGAAATCGGCTCATTTGCATTAGTTTAGGTTTCGATTTTGAATAATTTTTGGGTTTGGGTTGAAATTGACTGGGGGTCATAGTTTGGGCTGGAAAAACCCGCCAACAAATAGTTGAGGTTGAAAAATGCCGTTTTCCCGAAATTTTATCTACAAAATTCGATTTACTTTAATTATATTTTAAATTTTTGATGCAATAAGTAAATTTAATGAAAAAGTTGATATGAATAGATGCAAATTCTATTGACAAAAAAAAAAATCTGTTGACAAAAAAAAAAGAATAGATGGATGAAATTGGAGCTTATTGTCAAAAGAGGCACTTTGAAAACAAATATTTCAAAAGAGGCACTTCGCACAGTAGAAGTCAACAGTTCCAACAAAGAGACCAGAGTCGGACGATTATACCCTTTTCCAATAAGCGGGAAACTGGAAGCTTTGGTTTGCAAGTGGAATGATGATGTCACCGTAATAAGTAAATGAATTACGGTAAATACGATTTATTTGTGGAGAAGAGGGATTAGTCTACTGTTGGACACAGTAATTTCTGTTAATTTTGTGGACAGAAATATGGATACGGCAAGTTGTATCTGCATCTAGGGTTTCTGGCTTTACATAAATATAAGCTTCGGTGGTAAGTGAAGAAACGAAGTTGTGTGGGTTAAAGAGACGAAGAGAAACGCATGTTATGAAGTAGTTTGCCAGACAAACTACACCGACGAACTGGCAGCGAAAATAATGATTTGAAAGAAGACTGCATCAGGATCTCCATCTCTGGTGTCCCATCTAGGATAGTTAAGATGTCAAGAAGATATTGAGGTTTGGAGTATGAGTTAACCTTGCCATTTCTTGGATACCTATCTGTTGCAAAAAGTCTTGAGGGCAATATCTCATCCACTGCCTCCGCATCTGGATGAAAGCAACAAACACATTATGGCAATAGTTGATACGCACATAGGCGCTTCCATAACCAAGAACCACAATAAAAGACTTAACCTTTCGTAGGTGATAAAGTGAGTGAAATACTTGAATCAGTTTCTGCTACTTCATCTAAAGATGTACCTGTTAACAATTTAAACAAAACCTGCAATGACAAACGACCTGAGATATGAAACAATTATTGGTCTGTAATTTGTGGAAACAAAACAACAGGTCTCCCAGCAATGTCCAACCGCAAATATTCAAATGAAATTGAAATTCAATACGCTATACCCTATGTGGGGATTACTTAACCCAAACAAATAAACAACAGAATTCTCATGCAGTGAACTGTGGGGGGAGGATAATAAAACATCTCCAAATGTAAGAGCACATTTACTTAGAGGATTATAATGGATCACAACTACAGCTCTGCACGCAATTGGCAACCGACAAAATTCAAACCTTTTCCAATATCAAGGTACTATACCCTATGAGGGGACTACTTAACCCAAACGGAGAAGGATAAGAACAGAATAAGTTATAACAGTAACGGGTGGATAATAAAGCACCTCCAAAGGTAAGAGTGCGTTCAGGAGGCAAAATTTGATTGATAAATTCATGTACAATACACTAATTAGCCATACTCTTAAACACTCTTACAACATAGTTTTAAAATACCTAACCTTTTGAAGATGATTCAGTGTCTGAGACACTTGATTTCGTTTCTGCGACTTCATGTAACGATGTATCTGAGATGCATTTTAAAGAAACAATGAGAAACAACCAGACAAATGTAAACAAGTATCGACTGAAATGTATTGCATGAGAAGCAGAGCAGTACGAACTATTTACCACAGCGAATTGGGACATTAGCAATAATCGCATGACCATAAATATAGAAAAAAACGAACAAAACAGGTCGTTCATCAAACGGTAGAAAGAAATTATGACGATATCTACAAATTTGAATCTATGAAGCTACCCAACACATTTACGAATCCTAATTTGATATATTAATAGAAAAATTTTCCATCTAATTGACATCGCAGCTGTCTCTATAAACGAAATGAAATCAATTCTAACCTTCGATTGGAGAAATGCATGCCCGTTTCGACGGTGGCTCCGAAGCTACAGAGGGACAACAGACTTTCCGCCTCCGCTCCGTCGGCGCCCTTGAAGCAGCAGCTCTTATGGTGGGGTTTCGAATTCCCCTCTCCGACGGAGTATCCATATTTGGACGGGAACATCGATGGACTCTTGTTCGAGTTTCGCTACTCAAATCGCAGGATCTAGCAGCTTCCCGATGTCGCTCACTTCTCGTCATGACCATGATTCTGTCGGAGAACTTCGATCTAATACTGTCGGCGTTTTTTGAGCTACAACATCTGAAGAATTTAAACAGATTGGAAACAGATGGGGCAACAGTAAACCCTCAATAACATATTAATTGTCGACGACGATGACGTCGGGAACGTGAGGATAGATATGACATTTCACTTGGAGGGAGTACCTCTTTTCGTAAAGACATATCAGATGTGCCTAAAATGAAATAAATATGCAAAACAAATGCCTGTTTTAAAATTAACTCATGAAATTGTATAGATAAAATTTATGTTAAAAAATATTATATATGGATGAAATTGGGAAAGGATGATTTACGTTTTTAAAAGATACTAGATTTTAACCCGCGGTACACCGCGGGATGATTTAATTTTAAAGTTAGTATAAAAATATTTTGTAAATTGTATCTCGTTATAACATATTTATTTATATTATAGTTTACAATTGTTATTAAGTAACGGTATACCACGAGTCCACGAGATAATTATTAATAAATTGAGGATTTAACCCGTATTAAAGCGGTATATAAATATTGATTCAAATTCGTCCGCCATATAAATCCTTTCCGAAATATAACTCGTTCCGTAATTTCTTAACCCGTCCCGTGATTTGTTTTTATTTTAAAATTTAATGATTATTTATTATATATAAAAGTTTACAAATCATATCATTCTCTAAGACATTTCTATTTTAATAAACTGAAGATTTAATATGTATTAAAGCGGCATGTTAATGATATTTTAAAATTTTATAAATATTTTTATTAAGTAACATTATACCACGGGATAATTTTTGGTTTTATACAATAATTTCTAAATAAGACTGATTTAATATGTTTAATATTATTAAAAAAAGATTTAATCCGTATTGAAGCGGCGGATTAATGATACATTGATATTTTAATCTTTTTATTATTGTTGATTCAAAAACCCGTCACGCCAAACCCGTCAGGCCAAAAAACTCATTTATTTTATTAATGTTGATCTTATTTATGATATGATTCTGAATCATTGTCTAAATATTTTAATCGATGTAGAACGTTGAACACACATTTTCGTCAATTGGATAATATATGTCCATTTTTAAAATTTCGAATCACAGTATATGCAGGAAAAAAATTGATTTTTTTTTACTTTATGTATTATATGATGATTCAAAACAGTTAAAAACAAATCAAACAAAGATGATAGGAGAATCATAATTCTAAATCTTAATCAAATCTTCTAAATATCTAAATTATTAAATATAAAATATCCGGTGTATGAGTTGGGTTAAATATAACCCGACCCAACAAATTTTTTGTGAAGAAATTTAAAAAACGGGTCGGATATCCGATTAACCTAGAAGTATTTTTACCCATCTGTCACCAAAGTGTTGCAAAAATACTTGTATAGATTATTGAGAGAGCTGATTTTGGACATGGGAACATTAACGGCCAAAGATTAGGAGGAATTCATGATTAACATAAACAAAAAAGTTTCTCATGATTTAACCTTTAATTGTATTAGAGATATAAATTTGAAAAGATAATATTAAGAAAACTAGATATTAACCCGCGGTACACCGCGGGTCTATAATTTTATTAAATAATAATTAAATTTTTTTTTAAAGATGATCTATAGATATATGCTATTGTTTTGTTTGATTTAAATGTATGGTACACTGTATGACGATATTTATAACTAAAGATTTAAAATTTGAAGTTTTAGTTGTTTTGTTAATATTATTTGTTTAGTTTTGTTTAGCGTTTAAGATTGTATAGTTATATTTTGATTGTTAATTATAAGATTTTACCCGTAGTATATCATACTGTATTAATATCGACCACAAACCCGTCCGACCATATAACTCTGTCCCGTGAAATCTACATCATTTTGTCATTTTCCAATAAAATTCAAATATTTCTAATATTTGAAACTTCATTTAATATCGACCCAAAATTCATAATAGTATTTTGATTGTTATATCTAGGATTTCACCCGTAATATACCGTCCCGTATCTTTTGTAAATATTTATAATGTTTAAATTTCTTACAAATTATTATAAAATTCAACTATTTAATATTTGAAACTTTAGAAAATTCCTAATATTATAAATATTTAAAACGTTTTATAAAATTAAACTTTTTAAAAAGTTTAAATAATTATAATATTTTACTTTTAATAAAGTTTAATAGATTAAATTAAGAACTTATATTTAAAATGTTTTCTTTGGAAACTTTAATAGATTAAATTAAGAACTTAAATATAAAATTAGTCAAAACCAAAATATACATAAAAAAGTATTAGAAAACATTAAACATGAAATACATTGGATAAGAAAATAAAATATATATGATGTGATTTTTAACCATATGGAACATGTAATTGTTATAAAAGGTTTTAAAAGATTAGAAAAATTACACTTACCAACCAAAACTCGGATCCACAGGTTTTTGTAAAAGTATATATCATAAAAACAATTAAAATACATAACATTAGAATAATGAAAATTAAGAATAAGAACTTTATTTTATTAACAAATTCATTTCCTTTTTACGTTAAAGAAAATGAATTAATAGAATGGACTTGTTATGTTAGCCTATAAAAGAAAATCATTTACAAACATTATGAGGAAACATGAAATTCTGAAAATGTAAAAAAATACTGGACATTAAAAAATTCGTATCTGAAGATAAGAAGAAGGACTAACTAACCTTTTAATGCATACCTTATTTGATAGTTTCTTTGGAGACGGAGTTGGTGATGTCCATAGTTTCCAAAGATCTTAAAATCGAAAGCTGCAACATAAGAAAAGTAGGTGACAATTAATTTTTTAAAAGAAAACAAACGTGAAATATAAAATGTACTAAGAACATTGTTTAAAAGAAGCCATATAAATCTCTATTACGAAAACGTTTAGTATTGTGGATCAATGGTTGAAAAGATCTTCTTTATATAGATGAATGAAAAGTACTCGAGAAGTTTAGGTTTGACCTACAAATTAAAACAATTTTGCAAATATTCGAAAATTAAATATTTGATTCCTAATATATTCGATTTTGTATTATCAACTGAATAACGTCTATATGCATGGTGGGATTTATGAATGAGGAAAGCTAATTAAAGATATTTCCATTTGTTTTAGGAAGTTTGTTGAATAATATCTAAACGAAACAAAAAAAATCTTTAAAAGATATTTTATGAGAAATAATATATTCGCCAATTTGGGTTGAGGATCAAGTATATGAAAATATCGTAAATATTATATGTTATATTTATTACATATACTAATTTTCACATTGTAGTTATTTAAATCAAAGATTTTAATGAGTTAATTATGGAATACAAAATATCTATGTAAATCAAAAAGTTTAAAGAACCAATAGCGCTGGAATTGATTTTTTTGCTATAACGATTACTAAAACATTTAAGTAAATAAAGATATTTCGTTATGATTTTTCAGCATATTCGAATTGTTGATTATTTCGAAATTTAAGGATGTTTAAGAAATCATGATTGATTTCCGATTTCATAAATTTTGATTAGAATTAAAAATAAAATATTTAGTATTTAGATAAGGAATATACTATAATAAGGATTATTAGTACTCGAATATATTAGGAATATTCGTATTGTTAGTTTATTTAATTCAAAAATTATAATTTGCGGATTTAAAGGAAGATCTTCTCGAGATTTTAGGAATATAATCAAGATTTTAGTAACAAATGTGATCACATTAAAGATTTGAAAGATTTGAAAGATTTGTGTCTAAATTGTTAGAAACAAATTAGGATAGATAATTTTTGGTTAGTATCTTTTTTAATATTTTCAAATCTTTAGAATTAAACCCATTGACATTATATTGTTGAATATTTTTTTTAAATTACGTAATATTAAATTAAAAAATTAAATAACTAACTATTTTCATTTGATGGTGTAGACAAATTATTATTATTATTTATGTAATTTAATTACAAATAACAAATATTAATTTTTATAACAAAAAAAATTATTTTCGTAAGAACAATTTTTTCCAAATCAATATTTTACAAAATATTTATTTTAATCACATATTTCCTTTCTATATAGAAATAAATAGTTAAATAATTATGGTTAGGAGTAGTTAAGGTAAATAACAAATATGGTTAGTTTAGATATATTATATATATTTCCAATTTAGGTGTTATTTAAGAATTAATGTGATTTTAAGACAACATTCCTAAAATTCCTTATCCAAGATCCGGATAGAGTTAAACCCGGGTAAAACCCGGATCCAAATGAATTAATGCAAAAAAACCCTGTAAAAATGTATATGTAGATGGTAAAGATTTTTTTTATACAATGTTACTTTTTTCTTAACCGTTGATTCAACAAGGGGTTAGGTTTTTCCTATTTGTGCACATAATCTAATATACAATATTAAAGTATTGATTTTTTTTTATCAAACAATATTATAATATTGATTAGTTCCGGAATGACCATATCAGAATGCGCTAACAACACTTGTTTCTCATGTATTGAAAAGTTTGTGACTTTGCATTTAACAATTACAACAAAAATTTATAATCAAAACTTTAATACAACCAGACTCAAATATAAGTTTTTAAAATGCCATATACTGTATTTGATAATAATTAATTTTATTAAGAATCACAAAATGATATTTGGCTTAAGATCAAACCGGATACACAGATACAAAAAAGACAAGCCCACATCCGAACCCACCGAAAAGTAAAATCTGAATCAGGCGGTACACCGGAAATACAACCGAACCTACTATTACCGACATTAACAAGGAAGACTCATTTGTAGCTTTGCTAATGCCACTAAGCTTTTAGACGGAATTGGCATTCCCGCCGCAAACCAACGTCGTTAGCTAGCCGAACCCGGAGCTATCCTCTTAGAATATGTTTGGCCACTACAACCGAGACCTTATCTCTCATCTCCCCAACCTAGCAAGAAGAGAGAACGTGGAAGCGAATCTCATCTCCGACGACACCCATCCTTGAGATTCACGCTTAGCGAACCATTGATACGATGAAGAGAATACCAATCACAGCACCAGAGATAGACAATGGCTTTAACAAACCTATCAACCGCCAAGTTCCGTGACTAGCCATCTAGGATCCATCGGATCCGCCGCTAATCTCTTCACAAGTAGTGACCCCACCGATCCAAAAGCCAACTTCTGCCGCAGATCGGATCGGAGCTTTTTACACCAACCACCGAGCTGTGAGGATAGTTCCTCACTTCCACCAAATTCCTCTACTAATGGTGTCAGATCCCGAACACTCAGCTCAGGACCCATGCAAAAAAAGGTCACGTGATCGCCAAGCCAGTATGGGAAGACCCACAGTGAGATACGCAAACCGAAGCCATCAAAAATATCTAAATGAACCGAAAAACTCGCAGATGTGTGACAAAATGAGGAGGCAGTTCGAAATCAAATGACAAGTTGAGCCTATAAAAGCCCAAAGATGGCACAGAAGAATTCAGACAAAGACGTTACTACATTGATGACTGAATGAAAACGGATACATTAAAAGAAAATTATTAAATTGATTGGGAAATTAATGTAATAATTGGTGTATAAAATATAAGACCCCGTAGATCAAAAGGGGACCTTGAAATCTTGCTACACTAACAATACAATACTACTTTCTCTCTATATTTTGCATACACTTTCATACTATTTTGTATACATATGTGTCTTGTATTTATGTACTTGAGAGTTTAAACCAAAGAATAATATAAATACTTGAGTGTGTGAATCGACATCCACATCTACCAACCAAAAACAAAGGAGCGCCATCTCAAAACCGCCATGAAAGAGGTTAAGACATGATAGGAGAGGTTCTCTCACGACGACAAAGGCTGCTAGAGACGGATAGAACCTCCGATGCAAATTGAGCTTCTGAAAACCCTAGATTTAATTTAGGAGAGAAATGACCGTGCATGGATGTTACGCGTGAGTTTTTTTAGATAAATTCAATTTTTACATTATATATTTTATGTTACTTAGTTTTATAAGTTTGCATTCAACTTTATTATATGTTTTAGAGTGGTCGAAATAATTTATTTAACAAATTGTTGAAATTATTGTATCACATTATGCTACGTATAAAGTTATTTCTTTCACTGAAAATATATATAACGCGAACTAAGTTCTTAACGTGACGGTCGTAAGATGTGTGCATATTAACAATACTGTATATCGGACGTTTTGGATTCATGCAATCCAATTTCAACATATATGAAGAGTGGAGAGTGCTACGATTAAAGAAAAATTAGGTTATAGGATCTGAATTAGTCTCACAGCGAATGTAACAATGATTTAAACTTGAATATAAAAATATTCTAATCATTCTATTAATTGTTAATTAGTTTAGATAGAAACTCATAAAATCATTAGATACGCTCCTCGAAAGTCTATGTCATAACCATAAAATTGACTAGTTAACTATCTTGGTTCAGAAACGAATGTAACAATCCATACATATATATGTCTGCAAAAATAAAATCGTTTGGAAATCCAAAAAATGTATTTGTTTTGAAAATTCTACAAAACGTGTTCATATCACTACCATATCTTTTTGTCATCAAAGAGGTTACGGATCTTCTCGCGTTTAATCACCCAATTTTTTTTTCTAATATTATTGTTTTTTTTTGTCAACAACAAAATATAACATTCTACCAAAAAAAAAAAAAAAAACAACAACAAATATAACATGTGAATTTAGATTTTTTTTTTTGACGTCTAGATTTATTATTTATTGCAAATTATGAGAACTGTTACATAGACGATTCTACAACGGACAATTCCTTCCGACCCTTATTAGATCCACAACAGACGACACTTTCTTCTCCATGCTCTTGACGGACACCTTCAATGATCCACGACCTGACGACACTTCTCTCTCTGCGTAGAATCCTGGCGAACGGCTATAATTGTACTTCGCTGGAGATCTCCTGCACACTTGCCTCCTTTAATCTGCAAATTTATTAATAAATCGCAATATCTGGGACTCGAACCCCAGGCCTCTTGGTGTAGAAGCATTAATTAACCCTTGGTCAACCAATGGGCCAAGGGGGCTTCCACATGTGAATTTAGATTTTGGTAATGATATAATAACTATATTAGCATACATATATTGGTACTTTGTAATATTTTTCTTTTATTTAAATTAAATGAATACCCACGCTACGCGTGGATTTTTGCTTTAAAAATTGCGGAAAAAATATGATTATAGTTATTGTTGCATTTTATGTTATTTTTGTGTGTTATTATGTAATTAATAAAGTCATATCTATTTTCTATAGTTACAATTTTTATGATTAGATTCATCTTTGATTCGAAATATTAATTCTACGTTTTTTTATGTATAAACCTGATTATTTAGATACCCACGATCCTAATCTTTCAACAATAATATATGATATATTGATACAATGGTATGTAATTATGTTACTTATGTGGTTTGAAACTTGCCTAACTTAATTCTAAACAAACAATTATTTGTTCCATGTACTCTCTCGTCATCTAGTACGCCAACAACATCATGATATTCTAGTACTTTAAGTCAACACTTTAGATCTCTCTCCTTGCATACAACCATATATGAGAGAATCTCGTGTTTTAAATTTTTTGGTATGTCTAACGTCTCAGAAGACCATTAAGTGAAAAAAATTGTGTGTCAATATTACCACCTTATCATAACGCACAAAAATAAAAAGAGAGAATGTCATATTCATAAAACGTAACATGAAGTTAGGTAGCAAATATATAAACTACAATACAAGTAATTTTTTAGCCATAATCGAGTAACGACCATCGATGAAAAAATTTAATAATATAAGAAGAGTAGAATAAAAGTAGTGCTTGATACATTAGTATGATCTTTTATTTTATTTTTTTTATTTTTAAAAAATCAATTAAGAGTGAGATTAATAGAAAATTTAACCAAACAAAATACTTTTTTTATTTTCTCTTAATTAATTTTGCTAATTTTTTTATTTAAATAATGTAGAATGACATATGTCTTTTTTATGTGATGATGTGACATTCATATAGAGAAAGTTTGCCAACTTTTATATATATGATTTGAGAGATAATTATTGAGTCATTTTTTCACTGTCAAAGAAAATAATACAATCAAATCAAGATTCAATCTACGTGGGTATATCATACAACGGTCTTAATCTAATCATACAAACTCCAAAGTCTGTCCACGTCGTAGAATTTATTTTAAAAAGCCGATCGAAATCTTTACAAGAAAAAACTTCGTTAAGATTGGATTATTATTTCAAACATACACAGTTGTCAGATAATTAACGTGCAATTTAGTGCCAACCGAGGAAGATAATTTATTACATAGGAAAAAAAAGGGATAATATTAACATATTTTACATATCGCCGACGAGACTAATTGTTCTATAATTGTTCTTACAAATATATTGTTTTTATTATCATGGCTATACATTTATAATACTTTTTTTTTTTTTCGTCTGAATGATATTGATAAAACTTCGAAGGATACAACGACCGGCGGAAATAGATAATATCCCCGGTAAGATAAGTCGGCGGAAAATGGAAATATCCCCGAAGACAAGAGCCCAAAAGAGGGAAACTAACAAACAACCGAAGATACAACGATAAGCTAAAACTTAGAAAACAAACCTAGAGTCCTCCAATGAGTGAAATGACAAGGAACCACGAGAATCTAAAGAAAAAAATCTGAACTAGGAGCTAAGGGACCAACGCACAATTGCCTTAATTGACTTGTGGAGAGGAACCGAATCAAAACCCATTGTATAGCTCTTCTCTCTGCTGAAAGAATTGATAGAGCTTTGGATAGTATTAAACGTTCCAAACCAACCCCGAGAAGTCGATAACCTCAAAACTGGTAGAGATACCGCTTATGATGGCAAAAAAGTGACCCACAAACTCCAAAACGAAGCAGATCTTAATGAGACAGAAGAACCAACCAAAGAAAATGAGCCTAGAGCCAATGGCAAATAGCAACGAGTCCGTCTCTTCACAAGGAGAGATTTTCCAGGACATTCGATGCCAAACACAACACCACGGCAAGCAAGCAATTGGCCAGAACAGAAACTTCACTCAAACAAGATCCAACTACAGGACAGACAAAGATCCCACAAAAAGAAGATTCCAAAAATTCCAAAACAATCCGGAGAAGAACCCGCAAACCAGAGCAACAAACCCGAGAAAGGAAGAACCAGATCTGAAAAATTGACGCCGGAGGATGGGAGACAAAGGAGCAAGAAGAGCAAACCGACCGCATAAACGATCGAGAGCCACCAACAAACAAGAAAACACGGCCCAACCAGATCCGACAGAACAACTCAGACCCATCTCTCACCACGAACTGACCGGAAACGCCACCAAGCCTCGCTGAGCAGCCAAACCAAACCAGAAACGACTCCACATCCCACCTGGGAGGGGGCCGCCGCAAAACTCGAGCAAAGAAGCTGCTCCAAGAACAGACACTTCACCCTCTTCCTCACGAACAAGTAAAAACCCATCGCAAGAAAGAAACTCACCGGAACGAGTAATAGGCTAGAGAAAGAAGAAAAGACAACAAATTACACTAAGGAGGCACAACGCCGGTGCTAAAGGAGCCACCGGACGTTGGCCGAACATGAGCGGCGGCTGGTTTGTTTTCAGAAAAGAGAGGAGAGAGAAGAGAGCAAATTAGGTTTTGAGGAAACGTTGATACATACATACATACATACATACATACATACATACATACATACATACATACATACATACATACATACATACATTTATAATACATAAAAATATAATTGACCCATGGCTTTTCAAATATTTAAAAGGTCATGTCAATTAAAGTAGGGCCAAGTTTCATATAGAGCTATCCACTTCTTTTGGAATTAAAGATTATGCACAAAACTACATCACCTGCAGTCTACGGATCCGAATAATATATTATCATGATTCCCAAATGTACCTATTCACAATACAAATAATATATATATATAACTTTTAAGTAAATAACTAAGATTATTTCTAAATTTTCGAGGGAAAAAGCGAGGGCATGTCGGAATGACAAAAAGTATTTAGTAATTTATGGTTTGTTATTCAAGTAAAAGAGTGTTCTGGTCTTAAAGAGTAAAATATAGAAGATTAAAAACACTAAAAGATATCTAGTTTTCTAAGAACACAATAAGCTTTAAAAGAATAACTCTCTTTTATAAATGTTTAGAAACTCTCTCAAAACTAAACACAAAAAGTCTCAATATTCTCTCTTAATGTTTGCCACAACTCAACAAACATATTTATAGGGTTAACACGATTTTGCTAAACCTATTATGATTAGGATTTGGATAACTCCCAAACCTAACTAAACTTTATCTAAAACTTTTTATCATAAACCGAATTGTTTACGATAACTTGGGCCTCAAACATTTGAAGCTTACCCAACAAGATAAACACTACTAGCCCTGGGCATAAAAACCGAACCCGAAAAACCGAACCGAACCGAACCAAAAATATCCGAAATTTTTGGTTTTGGGTATTGCTAAATAACCGAATGGTTCTCTTCTCAACTATCCATGAATATCGGTTATAACCGAACCGAACCGATATCCATTTTAAACCACACACATTTGACTAAAGAGGTCTATCTTCTATTATTTTGTCTTCGATTCAGCGTTTCATTTTTTTTAGATTTATATCGAGAGAGAACAAAAATACATGTTGTGTTTTCTCTTGTATGCTCTGTTTTCTAAAATGAAAATGAGAAGAGAGAATAGATTCTTGTTAATTGTTATTGTAACTTTGTGTGTGTGAGTGTGACTACGTGATTGTCATTGTAACAATTAATATTTGGTAAGAATAGATTCTTGTTAATTGTTATGTGTGTTAGTGTGTGTGAGTGTGACTGTGTGTGATTGTGTCACATGAAGAGAAGAATGGAAGATCAACTCAAGGACTTGAAGATGCTTGTAGAATCTAATAATCTATACTCTAATCTCTCTTTCTATCTTTTTTTCTTTCTCAAGTATCTTTTGAACTTAATTATTTTGTTGCGGTTTCAACTCTTAAGTCTCTCATTTTTTGAATTTTCAACTTGAATTATTGAATTTTGAAGCTTTTGGTTCATATTTGCATACATTATTAGTATTATAATCTGTTTTTATTCGAGTAATAGTTCGGTTATTTGGATAGTATGGTTATTTGGTGGGTAAATATCCGAACCGAACCGAACCGAACCATACCCGAAGGTATTTCGGTTATCTTATGGTTCTCTTCTCAAGTATCCAAACCGAACTGAACCGAAAGCTAACCGAACCGAACCGAACCGAAAACAGTTCGGTTCTCTTATGGTTCCTAAGTGCCTAGAACCGAATAACCAAATAACCGAATAACCGAACCGAACCGAACCGAACAACCGAACGCCCAGGCCTAAACACTACGCATAACACTTTTTCGGACATCATAACTTTTTCTGCATCAATAATGGATATGCCAAGGTTTTTGGATTTGTGTACAACATACAAAGGGCATTTTCTAGAGAAGTAGCATCGCAATGTCGATATGTTCGATATGCCAAATCTTGTTTATGCATCATATGTAGAGCTGTCAATTGGGCGGGCGGCCCATGGGCTTGCCCAGTCCAAATGCACATGGGCGGGCTATGGTCCGGACCAAAAAACAAATGGTCTAATTGGGCATACGACCAATTTTGTCCGCGGACAATATGGGCTTGACCATATGGACAATGGGCCGCCCAATTACAAGAATTGAGTCAATTGACATGTCTTCATTTTAATCATATTTTTATGATTTTAATTACAATTACAACTAAATAATTTTCAAATTATTATATTTTACATTTATAAATTTCTATTTTTATGAAATATTTAAATTTTAATAAATTATTTCTTATTAAATTATTTGCGGTTTTGAAGGAAAGACCGTTTTGACGAAAAACGTAATTCTACAAATTTTCCACCAAAATCGTGATTTTACTGTATTGGCGAGAAAACAATTTTATGGTTTTGACGGAAAAACGCAATTTTTTTATTTTACGGTTTTGGCGGGAAAACGGAATTTTCCCGCCAAAATCGTGATTTTATTATATTGGCGAAAAACACAATTTTTCAGTTTTGGCGGAAAACACACAATTTTACGGTTTTTGGCGGGAAAATGCAAATTTTCTCTTAAAATCGTTATTTTATTGTATTGGTGAAAAAATAGTTTTACGATTTTACCGTTTTGGCGGGAAAAAGCAATTCCATAATTTTTTCGCCAAAATCGTGATTTTATTGTATTGGTAAGAAAAACACAATTTTGCAGTTATATCGTTTTGGTGGAAAAACGCAAGTTTCCGATTTTTACAATTTTGGCGGAAAAACGTAATTTTTCAATTTTTCCTCTAAAATCATGATTTTTGATTAATCAATAATAACAATAATAAAACGGGCTGACCATGGGCTGCCCATATGGACATGGTCTTTATTGGGCATGGACATTTTTTTTTACCATTGTCCATTATGGACCGTCCAACTTGGCCCATTAATAAAAACTGTCCGTACGGACACGCCCAATAGTCCCTGGACGGACCATTTGACAGCTCTAAATTCATATGTTAAGGAAACACTTGTATCTGATCATCATATGTGTGCCAAATAAATAAAAAGCTGCTCTTGTTACTTTCCGCAAAATCTTCTTTCCCGAATAATTTACATATCTGTACAACTTCGGTCTCGTTGTAAGAATTCATCCTCCTGCCTCTCTTTAACTTAATATATATTACAGTGGTTTCACCTCACAAAACACTAGCCCCAGCTCGATAGTTCCCCCTTCGTTTGGTCTTTGAGTATACGACTATCAATTACTATCACAAGATAGTGGCTAAGTAAATACCATTCACTATTTAGTCTTTACTTTAATACTACAGTTTCCTCTCACAATGTAATCGCTGGTATAAGACTAAATTTACGAGGTCATATTTTAGTCGGAAACTAGCGTCTACTTTGCGACCATTTTATTTTGTGCCAAATAATTTGTGAAATTATGAGTAAGCAACAAATCATCTTATTAGAATTAGACTAGACTAAAGGATTTAATGGTTAGGTCTTGATTCGTTTGGCAGACATGCAAGCTTCTGCATCACGACTGAACCACAGATAACCTTACAAAACAAAGAACTGAACTGTTCTGTTTTCAAGTTTCAGATTTAAAAAAAAAACATTACTTAACACCTAAAACATTTATGGTTAATTTTTCTTTCTTCCTGACAAAACGTAAAGAAACTAGACGTGATACTCACGCAAAAGTTTTGATATCTGAGCTAATAGTGGTTTAGCAAACTAACTGGTTAACATAAAAGAAATAGATAAGAGGAATTAAGAAAATCAGGATTAATAATCCTGTCACAACCTCGTGTTTACTCTTCTTTTTCTCCTTCTTTGCGGGCTCTTCTGCTGTCTCAGGTTCTGCTTCCGTCTTCCTCTTCTTCGAAGGGTCCTCAGTTTTAGGCTCCTCATCATCAGTTTTCTTCTTTTCATCTTTGTCATAAACTTCTTCTTTTTCGAAGGCTCCTAAATCTCCTCCTTCAAGATTTCTCAACCGCGCTTCAAGCTATTAGAAAAATTAGACCATCAATGAAGGAAGTAAAATGTAGATAGGATGAGGCATGAGAGGAAAAATATTGAAGAGTACCTTTAAGCGGTTTTCCACTCCCATAGTGCTGTCTTGGCCATCACCAAAAGCATCACACCGGATAGCAAGAGCAGCTTTTGCAGCTAGTGACCGTGAGATTTTACCCTTGTGCTCTGGTGCAGCTTGGCTAACCACAGGTGCGTGGTAGATTAGACCGTACTTTGGAGTGGCGTGTTTGTTCTTGCGGGCTCTATTTAGGGCCTTTTCAGCTCCAAGAATCTGAATCGTGCTCCCAGGTAGCTTTGCGAGGTTTAATAAACTACCACAATGAGAAATTAGGCGAGCACCGACTAGCTCCCCGACAAGGGCAGTTAGATTTGGTGCAATTTTGTTCATTCTACTCTTCAAGTAGTCATTAAGCTGAGCTCTGTACTCAGCAAGAGACAGAATCTGGTCACAGAGTTGTCGGATGTGCATCAAATCAAGGTCACTGACTTCAGTTCCCATAGATATCACAGCAGCCTCTTTAAGTTCTGCTTCAACTTCATCAGCCAATATCTGAGATAACATTGGACACAGATAGATGTTACAAAAAGGCATAACAAATTAAAACAAGTCAAATTTCGAGGAACGGTAAACAGTGATTACCTCGGAGAAGTCTAGATTTGCAGCATTAATCCGATTCCCCATTAGTTTAACAGCCTTGGCATATAAGATATTGTCCTGTACGATCTTCGCAAGCTCGGGAAAATGCAAACCGTACAATTCACGAACCCCGTTAGCGTAAGTGTTACGCTCTTTGTCAAGATCATCAAGCAGACCAATAACTTGGATTATCATGGTCTCCACCTAACAAAAATTAAAGTATGAGGGAAAAAAGCTAAGTAAGATAAGGAAGAGTAGAACAAACACAGAGAAACTCAATGACTACCTTATCAGAGGTGATTTTTAGTTTATATCTAGCAAGGATGTGAGACAATTCCAGGCTCATTGGAGCTAAATCGTTATCATCCAATCCGGATAAAAGTTCGGTTAACTGGCTTCTCACACCGCGTAATAGCTCCATAACAGCGTTGTTGTGAACACATTGTATGTCCTAGAGGAGAGAAGCAATTCCGTAAGAAACAAGCCATATTCAGAAATAACAAAAAAAAATGGATCATAACAGAAACTCCGAACAAAATACACACCAGTTTCTCAGTGATAATATTTCCAAGCTTTGAATCAGCCACCGCTAAGGTTTCACCATCACCACAGTTATTTTTCAAGAACTTGCGTAAATCTTTGCTTGGAGTTCCCTCTACCAGTTTAGCCACTGCTTCAAGAGCTTCAGATGTGTTATCAAACTTATGAAAAGCTATTAGCCTAACCATCTGTAGTAACAAACCAAAATTCTTAGCCATGAGAAGCCAACACTTAGCTAGATACAAAGTTTGAACAGAATTAAGAAATCACCCTTCGAGCTGACTCTGCAGACGAGAACTCATCACCCAAATCCTACAAGCACAAATTTGACATACTTAGAAAATAAAAACAAACGAGACATATACAAAGTTTAAGAGCAATGAAAGTAAGAGAATGAATAAAGTAAATAACCTCAACATTAGCGAGCTTTCCTTCATCTAATACTTTAAAGAGTGCAAAACCACCTGACGTCTCAAACAATACAAGCATGTTTACAAGCTCTCTTAAGTCAGTCCCTGAAAAAAAAACAAGATTAAGAGAAACCCTTTAATTAACTCAACCTCTCTAAGTCACAACACTTACAAGTTAGAACTACCTGCCAATACTCTGTTCAAATTCTTCAAAATCCGACAAAGAACAGAACTATACTTTGTCAAAATCTAGAACTTGGAAGACACGTTCCACTGACAACGGAGAAAGACGGCGAGAAAGATTCAGTGCCTTAAGAGAAAAGACAGAAAGAGAGACAGAAAAGAGAAAAACAAGTGCAACGAATTTGTTAGGGTTTATGGTATATTGAAGATTCTTAATCGATCTCTATATGACTATATATAAGAAGATAAATATATGTTTCTATACAAGAAAGGGAAAAACTAAAAAGAAAAAGTAATATAGAAGAAGATAAATATATATTTCGATATAAAAGGGAAAAGTTAATTAGTAAAAAAAAAAAAAAAAGACATTTGTTTATGAGTTGAGTAAATTTGGAAAAATACCTTCTTTTTGTTTAGACTTTTGAAAAATACCCTCTTTTTGTTTTTCTTTTAAATACAATTTTTAAATTTATAAAATTACTAAAAAAATCTTATTGAAACTTAATAATAATTAAGCAAAAGGATCTATATTTTTAATATCAAATCAATTAATCATCTATACTATTAATTGGGAAACATTGGATAATAACTAACCTTATGAAGGGTAAAGAATTACAAAAATTGCCATTGTGATTTTCTCATTCTAAGAATAATTTAAAGATTTCGTTGAAGGGCAAAATGGCTAATTTGCTGTAACTTAAACGCGGATCTTGGGTTGTGGGTCGGATCTATATCCATACTTCTTTGGTAAAACACGCGGATCTTGAGACTATGGGATTTGGCTCCATAATAATCACGCATCTCATCTTATTGGGCTTCGCGGGTCAAGGCCTTTCCGATGCTCTCGAATGTAAAAGATGTTTCTATAACCAAAAAAGCGGAATATATGCGATTGAAATCTGCTGAAATTAATGACATAACCAAATTAGATTCAATCACTTCAAATATTTCTATAACAAAAAAATCCCATATATTCCGATTAGAAAATAAGAACAAATCTCTTAAAATACCAATTCAGTTATCAGTTCTTACCAAACTTAACAAAATCTATAAATTCAAATATTAACAAATCAAGCATATACCTTAACAATCCTTATTCGAAATTATTTACTTTGATATGATTCAAGAAACCCTAAAGCATTATTAGCCGACTTTGATTAATATAAATATAGAATGTAAAATGCCATTGAAGATACACACTAACCTTTCTTAGCGTAAATGGAGAATCCAACTTAAAAATTAAAATTGCCCTTGAACGAAATATTCAAGTCTACTCATAGTTTTCTTCCACTCACATCTTTTTCAAACTTTTACGAAACTCCGACATTATCTGTTCAACTTCCTTCTCTATCTAGCTTAACATTACAAGAAAACAGACACTTCATAGTTCATATTAGTTGAACAACTTCATATTACAGGAGCAACAACTACAAGTAGCACTGCACCGAGTTATATACCTCATTCTTTAGGAAAAAGGAGAACAGAGCGAATCCAAATCATGGGATATCTGAATAACGCTAAATTAAGGAAACAGGCGAGTTTACTGAGTCAAGCTTAACTCATGCGTTTAAAATTGCTAAAGCCAACCTATAAAACTTAACGTAAAAGAGCCATGAATCGGAAAGAGATGGAATGATTCCAAACAAAATTAAATGTTCATCTTCCTTCTCTATCTAACGTTTTAAAACTACTCGAAGTCAAATTCGTATTCGTATTAAAAATTCTGTGAAAACCAAATTTGGATAGTCAATTGAGAATAATTACCCATATAAGATCTGACTTCTTGACAATTCTTGAAGAAGAAATCTATGAAAACAGAAAATTCCAAAGATTGGAAATTTAATCGACATATACAAAAACTGTAAAAGTATAAATCTAATTCAATAATAAGCTTACCTCTTCATAGAATTCGCAAATTGCAAAACAAAGGGTAGAAAAGCAGACCCAATAACTGGATAATATGAGAATCTCACAATTGATTCTCGAAATCGATCGATGTTCTTAATTTTATTCGGTGGGTTGTCTTTTCTGTAGAACTAAAAGACAACGATTGTGATCTGAACAAATAATTAAATTTAGAAAAAAGAAAACAAATAAAAATACTAAAAGGCTTCAGAATTATTCAACGGGCCTAAATTAATATTACAAACAGCCCACTAAAAGGTTATTCGCAAAAATGGCTTTGGGCCAGTTAATTAACATATTGGTTTAGAGGTTTTCTAAATTTTATATTAAATTTTTAAAAACAATAATGTTGCATTATCATAGTTATTGTACATATTTTAAATTTTCAATTTCTTTCAAAATTAAACATTTATATTTTTTGTTGGAAACTTAGAAGATTAACAAAATAAGAATATAAGTTTAACGTATTCCATATATTGTTGTTCAAAAATTTACTTTTTTTTTTCTTGTATATTTTGCTTTTCTTATTTTCATATGTTGTTTTTCAAAAGTTGACATTTTTATTCTTTACATATATAATTTTTTTTTCTTTTCTCATAAATATATTAATATACAAAATATTATAATTTTATATTTTAATTAACGTGATGTCAAAAAAAGTTAACTAATGTCAAAAAATATTTACATTTTTTATTATTTTCATTTTATGTATTTGATAAGAAAATTTATATTCAGAATTGTTTCATATTTTTAGATATTTCTATATAAATTTAATAAAAAAATTAAATATCAAGATCTTACAACTTGACATATTGGTGCATTACATTTTGATTAAGGTTAAAAAATTAAAACTTGACATTTTGATTATAATTAGAAATATTTCTATATTTTCAAATAACACAAGATTATAATTAGAAATATTTATATATTTTCAAATATTTCTATATTTTCAAATATTTCTATATTTTCAAATATTTCTCTTATTGTTTTTCTTTTCTTTTTACTAAAACTTTAATATAGAAAATTATCAGAATCAAAATATGCTAATTAGCGAGATGTCCAACCGCGATTGGTGGTTTAAAATCCTAGGTGGACGGCCTGAGAAGCTTATGGCCTCGACTTTTATATAGTATAGACTAGGTTATTAACCCCCGCTACGCGGGGGTTTGTTTTTATCGATTAGTTTAATAAATTTTTGGCCAAAATTTTCATTTATATAAAAATACATTGACATATAGTAATGCAAAAGTACTATAATGTTTATTTATTTATTATTTCTAACATAAATGTTCATTTATTTATAGTTTTAATATCATTTATGTTGTTTGATATATCATGGATTTTACGGTTTTTAGTTATGATATATGTATTGTTTTTAGAGTCTTTTTGTTATTTCTAGAGTCTTTTTGAGTCTTTTCAGGTTTTTACACGTTCGGGACAAATTTGGAGATTATGGATCATTCTGGAGCAAAACCGAGAAGTTATGCTGCGCGAGCTATCCGGAGATGAAAATACGTGTAGGTGTCGATCGACACCACCCCTGGTGTCGATCGACACCAAGATCTGACGGCAATTCAATTTCGCGAGTTTTTGAAGTTATGAAGATTTGCAGATTCGCCCCAGAACTTCTTCCTATTTTCAAAGAAGTCCCTGCACGTTTTTAAGAACATATATATAGATTTTTAAGGTCATTGTTTAGACCTAACCTTTATTTTACTTTGTTCTTGGGAGCTTGAACCCTTTGGGAGATAATTGGAGAGAGCTCCTCCAGAGAAGATATTTCTTAACTCTATTATCTTTTTTGTTTTCTTAATACAATTTTATTCAATCATGTTGTTTGTTCCATTCATCATGTTTGAGTAGTTTTCTTGTTAGGTTTAGGGATTCTCATTAGGGATTTAGATGAATTAGTAGATCGATAACCTGTTAGGATTAATCTATAGAGTTCTTCACCTTAGGTTGTTCTTAATGCTAATTCTAGCTTGATCACCTAGAATTTGATCATAGGATAATAGGTATTTGATCCGAGAGGGCACCTGTTACTGGAACTACCTTAGGTGAGCAAATATTTCTAGATGCATCGAGAGTTGGTCTAGGAGAATTTGTGAACATATCAAACTTGAGATTAATGCTAGTCTAGATTTAGGAATTCGCATCGAGAGGTGGAATTACTTATATTAGATTAGTTAGTTAGCGCATCGAGAGGTGGTTAGCTATTCATTAGTGTTTTGAGTTCTAGAACGGTTCGTTAAATAATCCTAATTAATTTGTTAGATTTACTATTAGTTTATTTCCTGAGAAATCCCTAAGCTTGACGTTTTCCTCATCTGAATCTACAACCAATTTTACTTGCTTGCTTTTATTTAATTTACAATATTTTCTTTTTAGCTTAATTCAAAACCTGTTAGTCTATTGTGTGAACACGAGAGCTTTATGGATTTCAACCCTCAAGTACTGCAATTGATCTCTTATTTGAGAGAGTAGTCTTAGGTCTAATTTGAATCACATCATTGTTTAAAACTTAATTTGTTATAATAAGAAAGAAAAAGTTCTGAAGATAACTTTAGTATAAAACATATTAGAAATATGATGTATTATAGCGTTTGAATCTCAAGTTTTTTAAATTACTATTGAGCCTACATTTATATTCCAAATACACAACTAAGAAAACTATAACATAAATTTAAAATGTAGTTGATTAACAATTGTCAATAATTTCTGTATTATAATATATTTGTGTTTTTAATCATTTTGATCTATTAGCCTCTATTGGTACCAATTTGGTCTTTGAAGTCATATCATATTGGTGTTACTATATATCTTCATTATTATTTTTATGCCATAATAAATATAGATTTTAATAAAAATGGGGACTCTTATATGTTTAGAAATTTTTATGCTATCATTAAAAGATACAGTTCCAAATCAAGATAATTACTTGCAAAAAAACTTTTCGTTTAATTTTTTAGTACATTGTTTTACACATTAAAATATTTTCAATATGTTTTCTAACAAATATCTTTTGTAATTCTTTTAAGCGCCACAAAGTGATAAAATGCTCTTTTATTTTGTTCAAACAACTTCAAATTTCTACCAGTTATAGTGAAGAGGTTAATAGTTTGGGGGGGATTCTGCTTTAGTGCTATAAGTATGGGGTGATTTATACAGCCAACCCTAAATCTTTTCATCTTCTCATGTAATAACAAATCATCCAATGCCTATACAAAATATCAAGGAATTACTATCGAGAACTCCATTCATCAAAGAAGTTAAAAATAATTTTTTTTTTGGTTTAACGTGCTTATTCATCTTCGCATTAAGGATTCAATTTCATCTGTCACAAAGGTGAAACCTCTATAATTCAATCAACACTCTATCTCTAATATCCCATAGTTGCATCAGCAAGTATTTTCCCATTGTAATCAATTGTAATCAGTTCTACAAAATATGGTTAACTGATATAAATATAGAATCATAAATTTACTATTTATTTAATAATGTCCAGCATTCATCATACTAAATTGGGGTTTTGTTAAAGGATGTGTTATAAAAGAAAAAAAAAATAACAATATTGGCAAGAGAATAGGGTTGTCTCATTCATAGACCTAATTATTAAACATCGTTTTGAGATTTGATTACTTTTGACTTGAAAGCCTACATGTTTAGTCGTTTACTATATAATCAAATTGAAAAAAAATAAATAATAATAACATCACAATACTTCAAATATGCCTAAGCATTGTAGGTAGTCTTCTCAACCAAAGTTTTTAGAAATACGATATTTAGAAATAAAACATTAAGAATAATGAATATAGAAAAACATGTGGCGGATTCACCTAGTTTTACTAAAAATAGGTTTATGGGATAACGGGCAATGGATAGATAAAGCTAAAATAGGATTACAAATTAAAGCAGTGCCGGTCTAGTTTTTCCAAATTTTCTTGGTTGTCCTACATACAACTAAGAAGTTGGGTCTTTTTGCTAATGTATTTTTTTTTATCCTAAGTGATTGCTTCCTTTGCTTATAGGTTAAACGAAGTCTTAAAAGTTAAACTTATAGAGGTTTTAATGGGACATTTGGTAGATATTCTTTCTTTCTTAATTCCATCTTGAGGGTATGTTTCTTTTTTTCTTTGTCAATGAGTTATAAAAGCAAAACAGATTGGACAATATTAATTTGCAAGACAATCCATCATTTAAACCTAAATATTGGTATGAGGAATATTTTTTTTAATAATCGTTAGTGCAAAGTATACTAATTCTATTGTTCATTACCTTTCATTTAAAGGTTTAGCTAGTTAGTTGGATACATAGTTTAGATAAGTTTGTTAATATAGCCCTCTATAAAGTTTCTGTACACAGCAAGTACAACTGTTGACCTTAGTGCGTAAAACACAACTATATTAATGGTGAGGGCCACTAAGATGGTGTAAGAAGCTTTCACCAGCTTGTCCCAATTTACTGGCGCCAAATTGTTTTGTCATTCCTCGTGAACTTTTAGAATCGAAAGACCTTAAGCTACATAGATCGAAAAAAGTAAGAGTATCTCGGTTATCGAATATAATTGTAGGCTCCCGTAACGCATTTATCACTCCTACTTTCTTGATTTTA